CTTCGCTTACTAAGTAATAATTTAATATAAAATTATAGAGAGTATATAACGTGGGATCTTAGAGAGCTAAGCCGTATTCTTAATAATAGTAATCTTATTACCGCTTAGTTTCTTCGTAGTATTCTTTATAGTATTCTTCGTAGTATTCTTTATATTTATCTATTATAATTTCTTCTATTAATTCTTAATATAGTAGAGATAATAAATTAATTTATAGTAATATTCTTCGCTTATTAAGTAATAATTTAATAAGAAATTATAAAGAGTATATAACGTGCGATTTTAGAGAGCTAAGTCGTGTTTTTAATACTAAGAGCTTTATTACCGCTTAGTTTCTTTATAATATTCTCTATAGTATTCTTCGTAGTATTCTTTATATTTATCTATTATAATTTCTTCTTTTATTTCTTAATATAATAGAGATAATAAATTAAATTATAGTAATATTCTTCGCTTACTAAGTAATAATTTAATATAGAATTATAGAGAGTATATAATATAGGATCTTAGAGAGCTAAGCCGTATTTTTAATATTAGAAGTCTTATTATCGCTTAATTTCTTTATAATATTCTTTATATTTATCTATTATAATTCCTTCTCTTATTTCTTCTTTTATAAAGTATTAGATTAAGTAGCTAGCTAAGTAATTAACTAAGTAAATAATTAATATAATATAAGATCTTAAAGAGCTAAGCCGTATTCTTAATAATAATAATTTTATTATCGCTTAATTTCTTTATAGTATTCTCCGTATTTATCTATTATAGTTTCTTCTCTTACTTCTTCTTTTATAGAGTATTAGATTAAATAGCTAGCTAAGTAACTAATTAAGTAAATAATTAAGTAATTAATTAACGATTTAACTAAGTAGATTACTAAGCTAATAGAGTAGATAGTATTAATTAAGTAACTAGTCGAGTATCGCTAACTTAGAAGAAGTATAAAAGAAAGAATAATAATTATAACTTCGTTTTTTCTTAATAATATTTAGGATTTAATACGCGTTAACTAAAAGGCTTTAAAATAGAGTAATAAAAAATAGATTAAGAAGAAAGATATGTTTTAAAAGATAGTATCGCTAGGTTAGAAAATATTATTGCTAATTTAGAAAAAAGTATATAGAGGAGAATATATTTATTTAGACTCTTTTAAAGGGTTTTTTAGCGCGTTTATAAGTAGTAATAAATAGCTATTAAACTCGCTTACGGCCTCGATTACTAGTAATAGTAAATTTATTAAAAGATAATTTAAGGGCGTTAATAAGGGGTTTAAAAAATGGGCGAAAGAAATATATATCTTAGATACTTAGTAATATTTAAGCGAGGGGTATTAAAAGAAAATTTATTTATAATTAATAGATTAATAGAATTATAGAAGAAATATAATTATATAAATAGATGAAAAGATTATTATTTAATTTTAAACGCGTCTAGTATAACTACTATACTTATTATATTTAAATATCTATTTAATTTATTAATAGTAGATTAAACTTTATTATTTTTATAGCGTTAGAAAGCGTATACTAAGCTCTATAATTTACGAAATTATAAAGAAATAATATTCGTAGAGAGCTAGTTATTTTAGAGTGTAAAACTTCTATATATAAATTTTTAATAAGAAAGCTTAAGAGGGCTAATAGGCTAACTTAGTTAGTCTAGTTAAAAGGCGTAATAACCTCGAATTTATAATTAACTATATATATAAATTTAAGATTTTTAAGCTTAGCTCTATCTTATTCTTTTATATATACTAATAATAGATTATATATATTAAATATTCTCGAATTACGAATTAAGATTATTAGAGATATTTATAACTCTTTATTCGAAGATTATATTAATAGATTATTAATTTATAATAGAGTAAGTAGACTTTACTATTAACTAAGAATAACGAATTTTATTACTCGCTATATTAAGAGTTATTATATTTATAAAAGATTTAAGACTTATAAAGAAGATAAGTAAGATCTATTTAAATCTCTTCTTATTCTTAAATAATACTAATAAGATATTTTTATTAACTTTATTATATTATTATCTACGAGTAAAGGTCTATAAATTAAATTCATAATTATTTTTTTTTGATTAGAGCTATCGAGTAAATAGGTGAGCGATCTTTGATAAGCGAACTTTGATGAGCGATATTTGAATTCCTTGCGCTTTAATGATTATAAGACAAATTTTTAAAATTCTTAAAAATTCGGAAAGCGCAAATAGCGCTTCAAAATTTCAAAAAAAAAAATTCAAAATTTCAATAGAAAACAAAAAAGTTATTACTATTATGAATAACGTATACTTATAATTTAATAGAGGGAGGCGCGGAAGGGCGAGATTTTAATGGTTGCGGACGCTAATTTATTTACCCGCGATAACTTAGCTAATCTAACTAAAGAGCGTAGTAACTTCGAATTTATAATTAACTGCACATATAAATTCAAGATTTTCAAGCTTAGCTCTATCTTATTCTTTTATATATACTAATTTACCTTAGATATAAATATTTTTATTAATATATTATAATAATTATAAATAAACTTAATAAGAAGAAGAAATTTATTCTTTTAGACTTTTTAGAAGTAAAGATAGTAGTTTAAGTCTTTATCGAATTTATATAGCGAGAGAAAGAATATTTATTTATTATTATCTCTAATCGAGATATTTAATTTATAATATATTTCTAAAGAAGATTATATAAAAGAATTAAGATTAAACTTAAACTCTCTATTATATTTTACTTCGAAATTAATAAATAAATAAAGAACGCTAACGTTACTTTAAAGTAATATTTTTTATAATTAAGATAATTAAATAAATTTATTATTAATAGTAGAGTTTGAAATTAACTTCGATAAGAATATCTTATTAAATATATTATTATTTCTTCTTATTAAAGAATATATTTCTCGCTTAAAAATAGAATCTTTTATTTTTTAAGATTAATTCGCTAATTAAAGAGTAAAGAGAGATATTAAATTAGTTAATAGATTTATTAAAAAGATAAATATTATAAGAAATTATTTAAGAAGTTAATTTAAATAATTATAAGTTTTATAAAAGAAGTAAGTAAATTATTATTAACTTTTAGTATTAGAATTTAAAGTTAGAGATATAATTATACTTAATAAAAAAAATATTAAAATTATATACTCTAGTAAATTACTAAATTATAAAAAATTTAAATTATTTAAAATTATTAAAGCTTTAAATAACTTCGCTTACGAGTTAGAACTTCTAACTTTTATAAATAATATTTACTCTATCTTTTATTTATAGCTATTATATCTTAATAATAATAATCTATTATTAGAATAGATTAAGTCTTCGCTACTATTTATCGATATTAATAAAGAAAATAAAATCTACGATATTAAAGAAATAGTTTAATTTAAATTAAATAAATAAAAGAATAATTTCTTAACTATCTTAGTAAGAGGGGATATCTAATATATAAAATTAGATATAGAGGCCTTAAGATTAAGAAAAATTTATTCTAATAATTATTTATAATTATAGTAAAATATTCGAATTTAATAGTAGACTTTTATTATTATTACTCTAAGATCGTTAGCTCTTATTTATTATTTAAAAGATCTTTAGAATAGTCTTCTCTATTAGCGCTACTAATTTATAATAACTATATTAACTTATAAGAAGACTTTAAATCTATTATAAAATACTAAGTTAATATATTTAAGAATATTACTTTATATATATTTAGATATATTTTTTATAAGATTAACATCTACTATATAATAGTCGTCGCCGAAGCTTTAAATTAAAGAAGAAGATAATATTACGATTTTAATAATTTTATTTATATTACGAGTAAAGGCCTATGAATTAAATTCATAATCATTTTTTTGATCAAGGCTATCGAGTAAATTTGGTGAGCGATCTTTGGTGAGCGGGCTGTCCGGCAGCGGCTGTCGAGCGAACTTTGGTGGGCGATATTTGAATTCCTTGCGCTTTAATAATTATAAGACTAAATTTGAAAATTCTTTTTTTGTCTAAAAGCCCACATTTCGTTCTATAATTTAAAAAAAAAATTCTTAAAGTTTTAATAGAAAACAAAAAAGTTATTCTATGTGTCAATAACGTACACCTAATTTTTGATGAGGAGGCGCGGGAGGGCGAGATTTTGATGGTTGCGGACGCTAATTTATTTACCCGCGATGACTCAGCCGGTCTAGCCAAAAAGCGTATAGGACCCGAATTTATGATTGGCTGCACATACAAATTCAAGGTTTTCTAGTTTAGCTCTATCTTATCTTTTATATATACTGATAACTCAATTAGGCTTAGCGTATTAAGGCCTTTCGACCTTTCTATCTTACTATAAAACTTATATTTATAATAATTCTATATAGATAGTATTCTCTTTATACTATAATATAGAGTTATTATATATACTATTAAGTTTCTAATACTATATTTATTTATATAGAGTTCTTTTCTTATATTCTATCTATTATATATACGCGATTTATTTATATAGTAGTTATATATAGCTCTAGCTCTAATTATATTAGATATAGTCTATCAATTACTAATATGTTACGAAATTTAACCGCTACTCTCTAGAAACGGTAAAAAACCTTCATCGCCTAAAGGCGGAGGTGGCTTACTAATACGTTTCTTTAAAGAAATCGTCCAGGAACCGTAAATCCACCGGTAAACAAAGCCATAGCTATTCGCTAAGGTATATACTACTTAACGTCTTCTTTCTGTATAGTTATTCGGCATATAGTTATCTTATTCAACATACATACATCGATACAACACCTGTACCGGTCCTGACAGCGTCAAGTAGACAGGGGGCTTACGCGTAAAGCCAGCCTGAATCAATTGCTAAACCTGTCTAAGATAACGGCGCAGCCTGAGCATCTCAAGCTATGATCTACTGTAAAACGATCCCTCGTTCTTTTCTCCAGCAGAGAGATCGCTCTTCTATCCTGGCAAGGACCACATCTTGTGTTACATCCTTTACGCGCAACATGTCTTCAGCTGCCATAGCACTTCAGAAACACGAATGGATCGTGATACTACCAGATCATGAGGGAGTGCTTCAGAAAAGGATGCAAGTACGCCCGTAAGTGTCCAAGCTGCAGAGCCAACCTCGGATCTCCAACGTTGTTCTAGGGATCACCTCAACGCTTTGTACCCTAGCATAAAGAGTGGCTTCTGGAAGCTTGGAGGTATGCTTCAGCGATGCGTTTGCAGCCTCTAGTTGTCTTGCCCTTTTCTTTTCTTGACAGAAGTTCGCAGGAGCCATTCTTGAAGAAGTGATCAAGGAGGCAGAGGGCCCGAGGATCAAAGGTAGCATAATGCTTGCTTTTGCCGAGTCGAAGGAGGATGTAATTAAGGCATTACAAGAGGACGTTTATTTTAAACAAGGTGTATGGGACTGGAATAAAGTACAAATTCATCCGGTATGTCGAGATACTGCTCGACCTTATAGTTTAAGCGTTTCGCTGACGATTATAAGTTCAAGTCTACTTTTAGACAACCTCTTTAGGGTGTCAATGTCCACCATAGACTTAGACTCGCAAACTTCTACCCGTGGAAATTTCAGCTAAGTAAGACTGCACCACTAATCTAAATGTGGCGGAAGTGTACACCTCAACCAAGCTTGTGTCTCTACACAGGAATGTGACGATTCAAACGGGGTTTTGCTCATCTGTACAGTTGTGTCCTGAATTGCGTAACCCCTAACGCTTTGAGCGCACCAGCTATTGCAACAACAGCTCTATCAGAGCTTGGCTTTCGGCTTCTGCTGCTTAAGCATGGCTTCCGCAACCATTCTACGCTGAACCTTTCCTGTCGGTGTCTTGGGCATGTTATCTGTTAAGAAGATCTGCGGCCAGTCAGTCTTTGAGTTATTTGAGTGAGAGAGTGAAAAAGAGGAGTGAGAGAGAGAGGGGAGGACTTCTCATACCTGTTTCGGGACCTTAAATTTAGCAACTTTGGTCGCGATCCATTTGCGGAGCTCCTCAGGAGTCGTCTTCTCTCCATCTTTCACCACCACCGCTAGACCAATGTCTTGCCCGTACATCTCATCTGCGATGGCAAAGCAGACAGCTTCTGCCACAGATGGATTCTGAGACACGACATTATCGAGCTCGACTGGGCTGATTTTTTCACCGCCCTTGTTTATGAGTTCTTTGATTCTACCAGTGATAATGACGTACCCATCTTCGTCTTGCTTGCCTTGATCGCCCGTTCTGAAAAAGCCATCTTGGGTGAACGAAGTCTTGTTTGCTTCGGGGTTGTTAAGGTATCCTTTCGTCACGTTCTCGCCTCGTATGCAGATTTCTGCCTCACCACCCTGGGGGACCTCGCTCCCGAAGGCGTTAAGTATCTTTACCTCAACGCCTTGGCCAATACCTACGCTTCCCGGGTATCTTTTAGCTGGAGGCAGAGGATTCGATGTCATCTGATGAGCACCTTCGGTCATTGCGTAAGCCTCTAAGACTGGGGCATTGAAAGCTCTTTCGAGTTCGGAGAAAGTCTTGGGAGACAAAGGAGACGAGCATGACCGAATAAAACGAATCTCAGGCATGTTTGACGGAGGCTGAAAAATTTCCGGGGTCAGCAAGTACTTTCTGGCAATAGAAGCTCGGATCATGAAATCGCGTTGGGGAGCAAAGACGATACAAAAAGATCTTCTTGTTCCGAAAACATGTCTTGCCAGCCACGGCGAAGAGGTGCGGACCACAAAGTGAGATGTTAGGCAAACCATACTGGATTTCGTAGTAGAATCTGATGGATCGTTGGAACAGCTGTATACCAATTGGCTTTATAGGTGATGAAATTGTCCCAGAACTCCGAGGCTGAAAAGCGCGACGGCACTATAACAGATCCGCCGGAGAAAAGTGGCGCTAGAAGACCCGCGAGCAGTCCATGAACATGGAAGAGAGGCATGACCAACAACGTCCGGTCGTTCGAGGTCAATTTGTAGGTGGTTTGGACGTTTTCTGTACTGTTCAGTTACTGCACGATCCACATACCAAAGTAATCAATCCATCACGCACTCATTGTCCTTGTTAGGTTCCGATGAGTCAAAGGTACCTTGAAAAGACTGTCAGTAAAACGACCAGCTGTGCTTTTATCTATATCCAGGACACACAGCTTTCGGTCTCCCAGTGGTACCGCTTGTGTGTAAAACAAGCGCGATATCATCTGGCTGCGCCTTTTGGACTTCCTGACCCTCTTTCCCTGATAGCTTGCCCGAATCTTTAATTTCCAGCACTACCTCATGACCGTTCCAATAGCATTCAGCAACAGCAGCCTTATACTTTCGCGCTGCACGCACGGCGGGTCCGTCTTGATAAAAGGATCCCCGAGGAACGAGAGTGACGGCAGAGCTGAGGTCATCGATATAGAATTCGAATTCTTCTTGTTTGTAAGCTGGATTAAGAGGAGCGGCGATCGCTCGCTGCCAGGATGCGGCAAGAAAAGCGACGATGAACTCATAGGAATTTGGTAAAGCTATTGACACGGCAGCTTGAGGGGCGATGCCGAGGTGTGCAAGATTTTTCTGGAAGGTTAAGACGTGAGAGTTGAGCTGTTGGAAAGATATCGAAAGGGTATCGGGCTTGCCGGGCACAATGATAGCTGGCGTGTGCCCCGTAGTTGGAAGCGTGGTGGACAAGGTTGCCATTGATGCTGCTATGTACAGGATGATGAGAAAGCTATAGCACAAACATACGTAGAGACTTGTACTAAAACGAGTAGTTAAAAATTGAGGTCGATTAGAAGCAACAATAATTCCACTTATCTGAAGTGACGTCGCTAAGGAGGCAACTGGAAGAGTACACTTTTGGACTGAAAGAATTTGCAGGGGTGAGGTTTTAGGGTACAAGGGTACAAAGGTTCGAGAGTTGTTTTACCAGTGGTGCAGCATTCGCCAAGCCTACAGTAAGGTACTATACCGTACATGGTAAAGTACTTTACCATGTTATCAGGCAACGGCCACTAGGAGAATTCACGAGCCGGTCCGGTCCCAGGCTTATTGGGGTGTTCATCTCATTCATTGATCTTGATTGAGATACGCAGTCTTGGATTGCTCTTCTGATCATCTCGTCTCATCATGCCTTCCGATCCTGCTGCCAGGCCTGCACGACCCGGTCTTTCCCTCTATGCAAACCTCCTCGATCCCTCGTCCAACAAGGATTCCACTCCGGGCACCATCTCACGAGCCCCGGTAGTATTCAAGCAACCTGCCCAAGAGGACCTGCCACAAGATAGAGTAGCAGCAGAAAAGCAGCAGATAAATGCCGGTAGATATGAGCCTGCTTCTTTGTGAGGTCGCTACAATTCTGCCGTTTGGTTTCGCTCACACTTTGCGCTTTCTTGCAACATACAGCTTCTCTACGCTTTCAACCAACTAAAAGGCCACATTTGTCAACCCAGAAATCAAAGCCCAAGTCTTCCACCTCAAGACTCCCGGCTGCAGCTCCTTCGACTCTCCTGCCAGGTGTGGTTCCATCCGAATCAGCAAGCGTGACAGCACGTCCTCCTGCGAAAACTACGCTTGCAGATTGGACAGCAGAGGGCGAAGACAATGATGTCAACGGATTCTATAGCAGCGAGAAGCGACAGCGCGGCGGTAGAAAAAAGCGAAAAAAGAATAAGGAAGAATCCCATGTCCCTCAGAATTGGGATGACATTTACGATCCATCCCGTCCCAATAATTATGAAGATTATAAGCATAGTGATGAAAGGATCATGGAGATCAGGGAATGGAAAGACAGGCTTTATGCACATCGATTGACAAAGAGACGTGACAGTGATTCAGATAGTTCGGGCAATGAGTACAGGCCTCAGCTGGACAGTGTGTTTCTTTCATCTCTTGTGTCAGTACACGCTGAATACCATTAGAGCAATTCGCGCCTCCAGGTTTATCTTTCGCGCCTCCTGTATCGTTCGACGATGGTGGTAAATCGCAACATGCTCCCCAATCAGTTGAAGTGCTGAATGATGCAACTGGCGATGATGTCTATGCTCGACGAATTTATCTCCCAATATTTGGCAGTCCAGCAGAGTCTCTCAACTATAAACCGCCTGCTTCTCAAGTTGAGCCGCTCCCTGTTCCACTACCGCCGCCACCACCGCCACCAGCTTCAGATCCACCCCTGACATTGAATAATCTACCGCCGCCACCCGCAAGCATATCCCGAGCACCTGTGCGTTACAACCTTCCTGCCGCGCCATCCGAAATACCATCTTCGGAAGCCGAGCTCGAAGTTGCTTTAGGGATCGACTTGAGAGAAGAAGAGGAAATGTCGGATGCTGCTCCACGGTCTCTTCGGCCTGGCCAGAAAGGATTTGCGGAGCGCTTGATGTCGAAGTATGGATGGAGCAAGGGTTTGGGTCTTGGTGCGAGTGGCTCTGGCATTGTCAATCCTCTGCGTGTACAGGTTGAAAAACAGAAGAAGAAACCTGACTCGGAAGGTGGAGGCTTTGTGGGACCAGGTGGTAGAGGCAAGATCATTGGAGGTAAGAAGAAGGGCGGCCATGACGCGGAACCGGAAGACGGTAGATTTGGCGTCATGAGTGAAGTGGTCGTTTTACGGGGAATGGTCGATGGCATGGACCTAGACGCGGAGATGGAAGGGGCAGGCGATGGCGGCCTGATGCAGGAAATTGGAGAGGAGTGTGGAAACAAAGTCAGTATAACCAGGAGATCCACTCACTTCTTGCGCAATTGCTCACAGCGACAGTACGGCCGTGTGGAGAGAGTCTTCATTGATCGCAGCGACGCCTCCAAGGCCCCAGTCTTTGTCAAATTTACCAGTCAGCTGTCTGCGTTGAGGGTATGTTCCATCCGAGGTGTATTTCTGGACAGCGCGCTGACCCGTTGCAGGCTGTGAACGCTCTCGAAGGGAGGATCTTCAACGGGAACACTATTTCAGCGAGGTTCTTTGACGACGAGAAATTTGAGGCTGGCAACTATGAGTAGAGAGTCCATAATCTTAGCCGGTCCAGACAAAAAACCATTCCAGCTCGAAGAAATTTCAAGCTCGGTTGATCAGCAGAGTATCGTCCAACAGTCTGTCTCCATTCTGCCTTCTCCTTCCAGGAGCCCCGGCATATTTTCGTCCGAATTGGTAACAACAGTGCCGGACTCTGACAGTTTAGGCTGGCTGGTGAAGAACCGAACAGAGCTTTTAATTATCATCGGAAATCATCACCTAGCGACAAGAAGTGAGACTCTTGAATTGGTTTGCACATTACGGCAATCCTGTCGGAAAAATATCAACATGTGCCGAGAGATACGCCTCCTCCATCATACCATTCGAGCAAAGTTATGATTTTCAGCCGTACACTGATGCTTCAACTGCCGAAAGAAGTCTCAATATACGAAAGAACCATGACACATATTTGGTCTACCATGACCGCGTGCGGATATCCAAACCACCTTTTGCTTCTCCTGGCTGACCAACAACAGTGAATGAAGCAGGTATACACTATTCTAATATTGAGCCAGTTCAGCGTGTCGAAAGGACTATGTACGTCTCGAAAAACGCACAAGGCAAGGGTTTACCTCTCAACCACCACGACCAAACAAAGAGGCCCAGGGAATGAGAAAGCCAGTCTGTACAAGCTGCCAGGTCACACAAACGCCTGGAAGTGAGCTCGGGGAAGCTTATATCTCGACCTTATTGTTACATCTCCCTGCCCTCCCTGAAGGAAGGAACCATGAACTGACTGGTCGGTGGGCCTTCATCCTGTTACCTTTGTGACTCCGTTCCCAACTGTTGTGGCCCTCGACCTAACGCACTTGCAAGCATGAACAATTGGCCTTGGTAGTCATTGTAGCAGAGACTGCCTTCTTAGTAAAACAGAAAGCTTGTGAACCAACAAGACGGCTAATATGCCGGTCTCGAACCCAGATTTCCTCGCTTCTCTTCGGTGTCGATGTGCCAAACCACGTAGTTCGGTAGTCCTACAACTTGGTAACCTGCTCGTTTCGCCATTTTGGCAAAACCCTCTGTCTCGGCCTGGTTCTCAAAGGCGTAGCATGGGAAATTAATGCCTTGGCGAACCATTAGCATATGTCTTGTGAGGATCTGCCCGATGTGCTTCCACCCACCTGATCTGTGTACATCCGCTTTCACTAGTATATTCACGCCGCCAACTCCATCTAACTCCACCTCCTCATCTTTGTTATTCCGCCAATCTCCCAGTGTAACGAGATACTTCCGTTTGGTGTTGTACTCCTTGTAGCCTACGTTGACATTAAATTCGATTCCTTATGTTGAAGGAAACAAATACAGCACATACCCTCAGCCAAAACCACATCCTTATCTAAGGAGTCTGCGAGCTTGCGACCTGTGTCAGACTCGATCCAGGAGTTGTAATCAACTGTATAGATTATTAGTGTTTCCTTGACTATGGACTGGCAAAAACTTACATCGACCCTCTATATCACGGCCATTTTCGTATCGGTGAAACCAGATATCTGCAATTTCAGTACTAATTCCACAGTTGCATGACAAGTGCGTACATACTTGGTACCAGGACGTCTTTGTTGTGATCCATGAAATCCTCCAAAATCTTACCAGGGCTGTCCTGGATATCAACATCTCTCCAGTACACCCAAGAGTGTGTTGGCTTCAGTGCAGTGTAGAGAAGGTAATTTCGAGCCCTAGCGATCGCTTTCCGCCTAGGCCCTTGAGCCTTGAATCCGTGTCTCTCTTCGACGCTCTGGCCGAAGATAGCTCCAAAATCCTTTTCTACGATCAGTGCGCTGTGAAATGGTATCTTATCGGTGCGCTTCTGTACTCTGTCCAGCTCTGCCGACAACACGGCCAACGTATCGTCTGTGGAGTCGCCTACGAGGAAGGCAAGGTCGATAAGATCATGGGGATATGTAAGCTCAGACAGAAGGTCAAAGTATTTGCTAAGGTAGGGGGCGGCGTCTCGCAGGGGAGTCAGAATCAGAACGCGCTCCTCGTTGACAGCAGCCCTGGGAGTGGACATGATTCCATTAAGATCGACACTCTGTATCGATGCCGACTCGACTTCGATGGGCGCGTGATGATTATAGAGCACTGGGGTCTGTAAGTGTGCGTGCCACTGTGCTTGCTCGTTCGTCGTCATGGCCATTGGCGCTTTCGCGGGACCCCAGCAATAGAACCTAACGGTCAGGCGGAGATGGTAAGCCTTCTACCACACAGCAGTCCAATCTTCGAATTCGAGATTACCTTTGCATCTCTCGCGACGAAGTACTTATGCCCCCCCATAGTATCAATACCACCACGGCTAGAGCGACGAAAGAGAGTGTTCGAGGCCGAGTGAGGTAGTGAAGGACAGATCTATAAGGTGGCAGGCGTGCTTTTGTCGACTTCCAGGTCACGCCGCCCTTAGGAAGCAGCATAGCGTTGGGGGAGGAGGTCCAGAGGCGAACGCCTCGTTCGAAAGTGAAGTCGTGCACGTTCAACAGGGGGTCAATACGATTGAAATGGAAGAGCTCAACGCTCTTTTCGCACGACTGCTTTAGCGTTGAACCATGTATAGAAACATGGAGGCCAGGCAATGGATTGGGAATCGAGGGTTGATAGTCGAAGAATTATTGGGTGTTGGTCCCCTGGTCACTTAAAAATAGACCAAGCATCGCTTGGCATTTCAAGGCACTATTGTTAGCGCAATTTACGATACCGTTTTCAATTTAAATTCACTTATAGAGTATCTCATGGAGTAAATTAACCCTTCCCTGTGGTCCCTGGGTAAACGGCATGTAAAATTATTCTTGCTATCATACAGTACCGAATACTGGACTGAGCAGATGTCTTGGTCTCTAACCACAGCAAGTATCTGAAAGGCACACTCAAAGTTGGAAAATCTCAGGAGCGCACTTTCTCTGCTTGATGATTGATTGTCTTCGAGCCTGGTACGATGTAAAAATCTATTGACGTGATTGTCCAAGAACTAGCATGAGGGTTTGGCTACATTGCTGCACTGCCGCAGAATTCATACAGCCTTTTTTACCCGTCGTCGTCTCTCTAATTATATCAGTGTGATAAGCAGTTAAATAATACCTAACTCCTTGTTCTCTTGAAGCAACAGACGCTACGCCGTCGCGCGCGAGACCCTCCCCATTCATATGTCCGCGATGCTGCATCACATGTTGTTCGGCTTAGGTCTTGAAAAAAGCGGACATCATCGCTGTGAGAGTTGTCTTCTCTTGCATTCCTCATGCAAGGGCGCAATCTTCATGTGTGCCTCGTACTCGCTCCTACCAATAGGTCAGATCGGGTACCCGAGGTGTCCGTAGAAAATAAAATGAGTAAGGTCCTTAGTCAAGCGTACCACTCACTAGCTCCTTTGGCAGTCGCCAGAGACCGTAGAACATGTCTTCACAGTAATTCTAAATCTCGAGTGGTCGAAGACCGGGTACTTCTCGTTGCATTGAAATAGACCATGCCCGCCCACGGCCGTCATAGACTGACTTTTGATACTGAAAATCGATCAAGTCCAAAAAAAGATGTGTGCTTCGATGTCCATTTTTGACACCCGAAAGTGGGTGGGACAGTACAGAGCAAAGCAATCTGCCTTCCCAACCTGATAGAGGCTTTCCTCCGGCTGTGGAATAATTCCGTGGATCTTGTATGGAGGCTAGACTCGGTGTGTGCGCACTCGTTCAGAAGTGTGGACACCGTACTTGACGGTAGTATACGTACGCATGGACGTCCATTGTTCGAGATTAGCCGGGTGGTCCGTTCCACGTCCCACATTGCTGAGCTTGCTGCATCAATGCCGCAATATTTTCTTTCAACGCTGCATTTGCTGCTGCTTGGGCCTCGATGATTTTGTCCTGCTCCTCGATCACTGTAACCTGGTGCTTGTGGTAGTTTAAAACGGCCTCCAGTGTTCCATGTTTCGTGTAGCCTGGCTTTTGGTTTCTTGGCTGACATCCAGTCAAGCATTGTGAAGGGAGACGTTGCTCCATTTCTGCTATCAGAGAAGAAAGCTCGCTCCGCCGTTTCTGTTCAGCCCTCTTATGGGCGACCTTGCCCTCCTCAACCTTGTGCTGGACCACTGGATCCATGTCTGAATCGTCAGTCTTGGGGGTAGGGCGTCGCGATGAGGGGCATCGCACAGACAGCTTGGCTCTTAACGTCTTGGTAGACGCCGATGGCGCAGTCTTGATAGAACTGAACCCCCTGAAGAGTGTACATCATAGTGAGAAAGGCATTGACGCTTCTTTCCAGATGAAAAAGCATCTTCGGGATCCCCCCTGAGCCTGGGCCGTTTATTGTTCTCGCTTGCAAGTAATGCGCTGTCGCTTGAGGACCAATCGTTATAGTGTAGAGCTCCATGCGCTGCCTGGTCCTCAGACGAAAGCAGGACCTGGAAGCATCCTGGCCACTGACACCGAATGCGCCGTCGAGTATCTGCAACCTCAGGCTCCTCAAACCTCGACGCCTTGCGAGCCGAGTTGTGTTCGAACGGAGACCGTACGAAAATTCTTTGTGCGGAACATGGCACCATTGGGGCATTGTACCGGTTGGTAGACGTCACAATAGAACCAGCATCCACTCAGCACGGCAGCTGGAAGTCTCTCTGAACCATGCTTGTATTATCGTTGGGCAATTGTACCTCACTAAGGATTTGTTTGATAGGCGGCAGTGTACTTTCCACGGTCAGAAGTCAGCCGTGTCCGAGATCCACTGTCTTCGGGGACGGCAGACTCACACCGGCATTGTCATGTCTGCAAGAATGCCAGTCAGACGAATTTCGCAAGACGTATAGGAGAAGCAAGCACAAAATCAAGAAGACATGCCGAAAACATGCTATGGTAAACACGTTTCGTGCGCGGGGTTGGGCACAGATTTCTGGCAGGTATGGTAGAAAGACCGAGAAGCTGCCTATAGCCAACCTTCCATCCTAAATCCGGAGTCCTCAGGGAAGACGAGTAAGAAGAGCGAGCATTTCTAGTGGCATGTTTACACTGCTTAACAAATGTGACGTGATGCATGTGCTGCTGCACCAAGATGTTCAGGATCGGTCTCTTTTCTTCATTGACTGTTGAGCTGTCCGTACTGCGAGTGACAGGTTGGCAACCTGATAAAATACTGCACGACATCGAAGGAGAAGGAGGATGTGGAGTCCCGGCGATCTGTTAGCGTAATGCATATTCAATAGGTGGTCCGCTTTTACTATATTCTCAATTGTGATATGTTCATCAATGATCTCTATATGCCTTAATATGCGTTGCAAAGGATATAAAAGGCTGTATCATGCCGCGAATAACTGCCATGTTATTATATTAGCGATGATCTCATAAGGGTTTTGCGGTGCTTTCAGTGTAGAGAATCGTATTATGCTTTTGTCTAACCCTAAGCACGAGGACAAAGAGCGTGTGGTAAGGTACAGAAATGACGAGCCAACAATATGAACATGTATCCGAGAACACCGATGAAGAGAGCATGCAACTGTCAGCTCATGCGACTTTTATAGCACCACGAATAAGACCAGAATTGCCTATACTAACAGGCCCTGCAAGCAATCCACCATTATGTCATACTTCAAGAGTCCTTGCTAAGCTAGGCAATCTATTCATTAACTTCTCCGCACCTCACTTCTCAACCGCGTATGTATCTCGCTTCGAAACAATGCATCGCTCGCACATTTGTCTAAATGAATGAACCTTCGCTCAATGCCCAATGATCCATCATGCAGGCAGGAGAACCACGAGGGACATAACAATTAGGTAGCGGCGCCACTAAAAATCTCAAAACGGAGAGGATTAAGGAAAACTCTACAGAACAAGTTGTAACAGCCCTGCGATGAAGGATGTACCACCAATGACGGCGGGGAAGTTGACCTCCGTGTGGCCAGCAGAGCTCTTGCCAGTGGGCTTGGAAGTGCTTGAGGCCGATGCCTTGGTACCGGCACCTCCTGGCTTGGAAATGCTACCTGAGCAAACGAAGTTACCCTTGATGACCTGCTTGCTAGATTTGTCGGTTTGGAACGCGCTGCAGTCCAATTGACCAGAACTCTGCATGTTGAAAGCACCTTGCACCTGAGTCAGAGCAGGAAGATCGACCCTACAATTCGGTTAGCTCTCGGTATACTTTCGACAATATATTCGAAGACACAATACTCACTCGGTGTAGTTGCCGTTGAAGTCCAGGGCACCTTTGATAACCGAAAGCTTCTGGAATCCGTTGATTTGCTTCAACATAGTGTTGTTTGCAATCTGGTAGCTGCCGTTAACGGACACAAGCCCTGGGATCGAAATGTTGGTCAACTCAGTATTGTCGACGAAGATGAGACCGCCAACAGTGGTCAGGTTGGGTGCTGCAAAAGACGTCATGGTGTTGCCGTAGAATCCCAAATCCTGTGTGACGTTGGCAAGCGATGGCAGGAGAACTGAACTGCAATTGCGGAAAGTCATATTCTGAGCAGTCTCGAGCATGGGGAAAGTAGTAGTGAGCCCAGACACGAAGCCATCGTTAGCCTCAATGTCAAGGGAGTTCTTGATGCTGGTGACCTGCAGACTGATGTTTTGCAAAGCCGCATTGTTGTTGACATTGAAGGTGGAGACCGACTGCAAGTTGTTGATACCTTGCAGCGAGCTAAGTCCTGTGTTGGTGATGAGAACGCTATCAGCTTGGCTAATGCCAGAGCCTCCGAATGACATCTGTTGTAACGCGGGTAGAGCGGTGAAGTTCATCGACGACACCTGCGTGAGTTGAGGAAACGACAGCTCGGACAGAACGGTCAACCCTCCAAGCTCAAAGCCACCAAGTTGCTTGAGGTCCCCGAAGGACAAGCTAGAAAGCATAATAGCATTAGTGACGGTCAGATTGCCAGTAATGACTTGTACACCGTCGACGGATAGCTGCTGATGGCCATTGGTGTCCTGTGGGGTGGCCAGGCCAGTCGGAATAGCGACGGAGCCGCTGTAGGTTGTGCAAGAGGCAAGAACGGAGGCATCTGCTGATGCTGTGATTGTCATTGTGGCGGCATTACTGCACTGGGCTGCGATCACCAAGTCAGCAATTCATAGTGCCAAATTTGACTCGGGGAGATGGTATTGGACGTGGTGGAGGCTCTAATGCAGGCGTGTCTCATGCGGGAAGGAAAGGAAAAGATTGTCTCACCTATGGCAGTGCTTGCAAAGGCGAGTGCCGGCAGAAGGTATGCTATGATGGCCATTGTGTGTAATATTTGATGGATACAATAACTAGAGACAAGCCAGATTAGGTTCCTGTAGACAATTGATGGGCAGGTCGTGAGGCTGACAGATGAGTGGCGAGAGGTGCTGGGGTAAACATGGGACCGCGACGAGCAATGTGCACGGTGCAAAAAAGGCGACGAGGGAGATGTGAGACTTACGAGAAGCAGTGGATTAAGAGCTGCAGATGATTGAGTGTGGTGATGATTAATTGCGGATAGAAGTGGTGGTTTAGTGGGAGAAGAGAGGAAGAGTTGTTGGGGAGGAAAAGATGCAGCGAACGTGAAGAAACGAAGGAGAAGGCTAATATTAAAGTAGTTAGAGGCCAACCGACGTGAAGTTCTGTTTGAACCTCAGAGGAAGGCGCAGCTGATGAATGTGAATGTAATTGATGAACGAGAGACAGGCACGACGACCTTGGTTGACTGATGGAGATTCAAAAAGATTCCTGGCAGGAATTCTTGGGGGAAGAAATTAGGAAGTAGGAAAAGAGAAGCGGGAGCAAGGCTAAAAAAAATAACTTGGCGGGAAAAAAGGAGACCCTTGCCTATTTGCCTATTAGCGTTGCCATCGCCAACGAGGACTTGGCGGCTCCGAATCCGCCAGAGTCCTTGCTGTCCTTGCTGCACCATACCCAACACAGCTACCATATTCAGAGCTCCCGACCCACCTTGATACTATCCCTCTTATTTAATTGGTGTAGATAAGCAACACTATTGAAACCCTCTTCATCGACTTGATAGCGACACCATTTCTACGCTCCATACTACTCCGTATGCTCCAGTCTACGCAACCTCGAATGCGTTGAGTCTTGACATTGACTCTACTTCGAATGACAAGCTTTACCCTTGCCACCGACGACACTTTGAACGGAGGTGGAAACCAAATACACTATTGAGATGGGATAGACGCTTCAGGATGGAGCTACCTAGTGTTATCTATCGCTCTGGGGAAGCTCGTGCATTTGTGCACTGACAAGTGATAAGTTCAAGATACGCTATCCCTGCAAGATCTTTGTTAGTGTAGTACCCAGCACAAGAATCCTTAGAGGAGGGCGTGCCTCCCGCAGCGACCGAGGGATGGCGGTCTTTGGCACGGTTGTTCTGTTATGGAGTTTATCCAAAGGCGCAATAGTCGGATTCTCGGCTGCGGCAGCTCCAAATCTACAGGCAGTCTGGACTCCACCCTGTAGCGTGTACTCGTCACCAGTGGCAACTGCACGCTTCCGTGTGTTTGCGAAGACGACAGCTGTCTTGCCATCAATCGATCAGTCTCCAATTAACCGTACAATAAGGTATCAATAATATTAGAACTCTGTATGGGGTCAGACCAGACCGTTGCTGAAACGTTAATCCCAGAGCAAGCAGGTAATTTGTTTCGCAGGGCCGCTAAGGTGGATGATCTGCATTAAAGCATTGAAGCAAATCTCACTCGACGCCTCAACCGTCCATGCCAAGTACCATCACCCCCCAATAATTTCCGCTGTCAAGATTTAAAGCAAAGTATCGTTCAGTCGTTTGCGTAGCGTTGGGCAGAATATACAGATCTACCCAGTACAAAATGTCGAATCCAAGACTCCGTGCTAGCCCGAAGGTGGAAAAGCTAAGGCTGAATACATTACATTAGAAATTTTGCTTGATAGCTGTAACAAGCCCTTCAGTTTTTGTTCGAGACACGGATTGAGTCTCAAGCAGATTGTTGGTAGTACGGATGTATGCATACAACGTGCGACGGTCTACTAGTACGACCTTCGGCTTTCTGTATATGAAATCAAATAGATGTATGCGTATGAAACAACGCCATGACTATTTGTACACTTCTGTACTTGTGGCTGATCTTTTCTAAGCACTTACTCAAAGCTACCAACACATTGACGTTGTACAACGACAAGCCTTGTGACTCGGATGCCTTAACTTTGTTCCCCGTTCAATGTGTTTCGTTTCACGATTTCGACATCATCCCGTAATCGTGCGGAAAATGACTGCCCAACGTAAATTGCGGAGCAATACGTCCCCCAATCACAGTACAGTGGCAGTGCCTAGATCTCAACATAAAGATCGTGCTTCCGAACAGAACAGCTTAGCAGAAGGAGCGACGGCTGCGACTGGAGCGACGACATTAGCAAAGAAGAGGCAAAAGCGATCATACAAGTCTGAAGGGAATTCCACATCTCCCCAAGTGAAAAGAGCTCGAATCCAGACACCTGAGCCCCAGCAAAAGTCGTTGAGCCAACATTCACAAGATGCTTCACTGGTGCCCAGCCACGTACCAAGGAAGAAAGCTGTATTGTCGTTCGACCGGCCTGCTGAGCCCCACAGGACCAATGCCCCACTGAAAACGCCTAGGGGATCGCGGCTTGTCGTATCTAACAAGGAGACCGCTGAGGCTTCTCCATCTAAGACCGGAATCCCAAGACCGGCAACCTCAACGAGTCATATTCTAGACGAAGCTTGTGCTCACCTCGTCAAGATGGAACCGATGTTGCAGCCTCTTATCGAAAAGCACTATTGCCGAGTCTTCTGCCCTGAAGGTTTGGCTGAAGAATGCGATCCTTTTAAAAGTCTTTGTAGTAGCATAATGGCCCAGCAGGTTTCTGGTGCTGCGGCCTCGTCGATCAAAAGAAAGTTCGTAGGGCTTTTCCATGGGCCTCTTGACACGGAGAGAGTAGAGGAAGCTAGAGTCTTTCCCACGCCTGCCCAGGTCGCGGCTTGCAGTGTTGCTTTCTTACGTCAGGCTGGCCTCTCGGAGCGCAAAGCTGAGTACATCAAAGGACTTGCCGAAAAATTTGCGAGCGGGGAGCTGTAGGTGTTCTCCAAGCCATAATTTCTTATCATGAGTCGTGAGACATGTCTTGGGGGTAATTACTCCCCACTCGTGTCTCACGACTTAAGATTCGATCTAGGAAAGGAAATCACTGATTGCGAGGATCTTCATTAGAAGCGCTGCGATGTTAATCAACGCCAGCGACGAAGAAGTACTCGGAAAGTTGACTGCCGTGAGAGGACTGGGCAAATGGTCTGTAGAGATGTTTGCTTGCTTTGGGCTGAAGCGAATGGATATCCTTTCTACTGGAGACCTTGGTGTTCAGTATGATCACTTCACATGCCGCATTTGAAAATGAGCTGATCTTTCAAGGCGAGGTATGGCCGCTTTCATGGGCAAGGACGTAAGAAAGTTGAAGGCCAAGGGCGGAGGTAAAGTAAGCAACTTCCCCAGCCCTTGGTTTCCTAATCCACACCATGATTTGAGTCGCAAGTCACGTTGCGAGAGTACATGGACTCCCACAATAGTCTGACGACTCATTTCTTGACCTTGAAAAGGAAGTTACTGAATGGAGAACTCGCAGTGGAAGTACATGTCAGAGCAGGACATGCTTAAGCATTCTGAAAAATTTGCGCCATATCGAAGTATTTTCATGTGGTACATGTGGAGAGTTGAAGATGTGGACATAAACGTCGTCGAAGAGGCATGAAGAGTAGGCTAATCTTCAACCGCATTGGCTTGACAGCTTTACCGATCTTGTCAGTCAAACGGGATTCGCTTCTTTCCGCAACTCTGTGCATAATCGTGGCAAATATCTCTTGATTGCATATAATCACGGCAGCCTACTGGAGCTCTGAAGGTACAATCAGACTTTGTAAGGACTAAAGCTGCAGCCTCAAGAAGTACCGGGACGAGGACTCAAAGCGCCTCATTTCTGACGGAATATATCTTCCGGGTAGTGCAGAAAATAGAGGAATCCCGACAGCGCTTCGTTGGAGATAGAATGACCCAATCAATCACGCAAAAACAAGGGAATAAAGTACTTATTCCAACAAATCTCAGCGCAAAGTTGGTAAGGGTTGGCCACAGAATAGGAATGTTCTGGTCTAATCGGGAATTTGAGGAATTGAAACCGGAAGAATAAAATACTTGATATTCAATACTTGTTTGCAGACTTCTCTTGTCCAAGTTCCACACGACCTTTCGAATCTGGTGGTACAGCGCATGCTCTTGTTTCAACCTCAAAAAATCCAAATGTTCCAGGCTTAGATACCACAGTATCGCCGCATTGACATTGGCATCGCTACCTCTGGTAGACGCATGAAAGGCTTTTTGGAGAAGTTCAGATGTCCTTCATGTTGTTTCGCCTATGTACGGTAACAAAAAGGGCCCTTGAGCACAAGAGTGGCCCTCGTACACAATAGACAGTGTGTAGATGTAGCCCCAGGGTGTTGTTGGCTTCTCGTTCCTTTTATTACTTCACTTCTTTCACTTCTTCCTCTTGCTAACAACCATGGCTTCCAAGTCATCGCGCTCCCTCGACTCGGCCTCGATTTCTTTGATAACAGGTGAAAGGTATGCGTAGTCCTATGAAGAATAAGCCTCTGGTGCGGACCGTGAAAGCTTCAAACGTGGTTCACCTCTTCCGGCTTCGTTTGCTGATCCTTGGGCAGAAGTTGGTGGGCAAGAGAGCACTTAGGCATGTCAGCAGCCGGCGAACCATCCAATCGAAGCAATGGATGTTATTTTAATATACCTGAAAAGCTCGTCGAAGTCGAAAGACACGGTCGTATGCTTCCTTGGGGGGCAGTCGTTTTAAGGCGAGTAGGACTGTATCAGACTCTTCGGGGATGAGATCATCGGCCCTTGAGGTCCTCTCAGTCAACTCGAGCTCTCCAACAAGTACTGAACGTGGAGATTCCAAAAAGTGGCGATGGAAGTTGCGCCACTCCACTACTCGGACGAGATGAATGGATGATTACCTGAGGCCCAGTTTCCTGTATCCCGCAGCATCTGCGTACCAATTGGCCAATGGCATCATCCAGCGCTTTAACCACGGTCTCTTGACAATGTATCCTGCGAGCGATGGTGCCGACATGATTGCCGATAGTTGACGTTGGGATGAACCTTAGTCCGGAGTATTGAGGTCTTGGGTAAAGGGATGCTAGAGATTGGAGGCTGCGTACGAGTTGTACGTATTTGTCTTCGGTACTGTACCGTTAGCGCCTGCGCCATCCAAGCTGCAAAGAACGATAGACCTGCCGCACCGCTTCGAGTAATTATGCTGTGCAGCAGAGAACAACAGCTCGAGCACAACTCGAGCAAGTATTAATCCCATAGGTGTGCCTTCTCCGCACGACAGTTGGCAATATTCAAAAGGCCCGAGCCTAGGTTGCGCTCCGCATTCTATAGATCACCACCATCCTCCCTGATGCCCTCAATCGGGATGAAGCGGCCAAATCGTTGAAATCTTACCGCAGGATTGACTGCCAGCGATCGACGACTATATCCTGCCCGATGCCTTGCTGAGCCCTTCTTCGGCCTCTGTCTCCCCAGAGATGTCCATTGATCGGAATCACACCTCTCCAATCGCTGCTCAAGATACCGAGAATGGGAAATCGAGCCCGCCGAAGACCCGTCTCGAGCTTTGGGTAAGAAAAACACCGGAAGGTTATGTTGTCCCAATATCGGGGGGTCTTGCTGGTGCTGTGTCCGGACTAGTGAGCTGTCCGCTAGATGTGATCAAGACCAAACTACAAGCCCAAGGCGGCTTTCGAGCTTCAAAGGATGGGGTCAAGATTACTACTGCTGCGTATCGGGGTGTTCACGGGACTGCTGCTACAATATGGAACGAGGAAGGCCTTCGGGGCATGTACCGAGGGCTCGGACCAATGCTTCTCGGCTACGTGCCGACCTGGGCTGTCTATCTGACAGTGTACAACAAAGCGCAAGCTTTCTTCAGGACAAGAACGGGTAAGCTATTTTACCAGCGCGCCCGGAATTCAGCTCACCGAGGCTTTTTACTTAGACAATTGGTTCCTCGCAAACGTGTACGCTTCACTGAGCGGAGGCGCATGCTCGACCATGGCGACCAACCCCATCTGGGTCATAAAGACGAGGCTCATGTCTCAGTCAAGCTCGAGAATCGCAACCAACCATTCAAAAGCCCCTTGGCATTACAAAAACACCTGGGACGCCGCAAGGGTCATGTACCGCACAGAAGGCCTTCTATCTTTCTATTCAGGTCTCACGCCAGCTTTGCTCGGATTGACCCACGTCGCAATACAATTTCCTCTGTATGAAGTCTTCAAGGAGAAGTTTACGGGTATTGGGAAAGGGCAAAAGGAAACCGATGAGGACCGGAGTCACCACTTCTACGGTTTGGCCATGGCCGTCTTCTTGAGTAAAGTTTGTGCAAGCACGGCCACCTATCCCCACGAGGTCGTTCGAACCCGTCTGCAGACGCAGCAAAGATCAGCTAGTACGCCTACATCACAGGGAATGCATTTGAGAGAAGGCTCAACAAAGTCAGGTGATCACGGACGGACCCCTGGGTTTATTTCACCTGTTGTAAATGAAATTCGATATCGAGGCACCGTGCAGACCTGCAAAACCATTCTTATCGAAGAAGGATGGCGAGGCTTCTACGCTGGCCTTGGGACGAACTTGATACGAGCTGTACCATCGGCCATGACGACAATCCTTACATTTGAATACCTCAAGAAGACCATGTTTCAACTGCAGCGCGACGATCAATCAAACGAGGGTGCACAGGGTGCACTTGGGCAGGCTGTTTCATAAGCTTTGTATTGTCAGTACCGCATGCCTAAGTCACCCCCACCATGGCCAGGGTCTTATCAATTCAAGATACGCTTGATCAGCAGTGCGGAGCGTACGTTTTTACGTTTCCTTGAAAACATGTGGTTGAAAGCAAAAGTTGTTGGCAAGAATGGTCAAACACAGCTGTCGTTTTTTCTTCTCTTATTTTTGAGCACGGCTGTTGCCCCAGGGCACAAGGAGTCATGCCTTTTTGAGAATCGAAATGACAGCTTTTGGTAAAAGTGGTATCCGCTTATAAATGCGTTGAATATGTGTACATAAATGTTCTCATGGACGGCTATGCTTCAATGTTTCCAGATAGTAACCTCTGATCTGTGCTGCGGGCCATGTTCAGCTAGCCGATCACCTTCTCGAAACTTCCTCCGCAACTCTTCTATACATGATTTCATCAAAGTTCTGCCAGTGGTCTTCGTTCCCCCAAGCATCAACGCCATGGGCAATAGATCGTTAGGCGGCAGCAGCGAGCCTTCGAAGCCGAGTGACAGATATGACTTGACCTGAGTGGAAGCCGGACCCTTCGAAGCCTGATACTCTTATTGAGAATGATCGATCCACCGCCATTCACAGCCATCCACCATTTTAATAGAATTGCTCGAAACGAGAGCCAATCACATCATCCACCATTGTCTCGCTTGCCTTTCCTCGCGCTCAGCACTTCCTTCTCAGGGGATTGCCGAATACCTTTTCCCGCTATCTTCCCTGTCTTGTCCTGTGTACCTGCGATCAACTGTACGATCGACTCTTGCTCCTCAGGCTTTTCCAAAGCTCCATGACGCCGCTGGCTCTCATTGTACCAGCTGATCTGACCTGCGCACATTTTGGAGTCAGCGGTATTTTCCAGAGGCAAAACTCAGACTCGTACGACAGGCCTCAGGAGTAGGAAGAGCCTTCTGCTCCGGAAATATGTCTTGTACCTCAGAACTCGGCACTAAATAAGGAGAAGTTATTCCGAAATGTACGAACCTCCATCTGCCACTCTGTGACGTTCGGCATTCCGTTTGGCAGCGTGGATTGACGAGCGAGTATAGACAAAGAGCAGGCCCGCCATTGTGAAGGCTACTATTGGTGTAAGAAGCGTCCTATGAAGTCTGCGGTTTAATTACAGTCCTGACTCCAACGGTGACATCTCTACTTGCCTGCCGTTGAAAGTTCTGGACAGCTTGATCTCGGAGAGGCGTTTGCCTCTTAAAGGCTTAGGGCTCATAACTCTGATCAAGCTGAGGTTTGTCAGTACATGCGAAGCATTGTCTCTAGGTGGGCGGATTTGTTCCGCACAATGCCGAAACATTTTCCCAGTCACCAGTACACTATCGAGCGCATCATGCGCTCACTACAACAACCCATCCTGCCACGGTAAGCAGAGAATGAGGTGTCTCAGATGGGTAGATGAGATCGCCAAAACTGGCCCGTGGACCTGCCACAGATGCCTGAGAGGCAGCCAGCAACTATTTACCCACTTGCCCGCTTACACAACGAACTCTGGAAAATCGCCGTCATGGACCTTCTCTGCGCAGAGAGCCTATCACCCCAGACCAAGTTCATACGAGACCGCCGTATCGAAAGACTTCACGTTGGAAAGACCTACGTTAAGTAGCCTCCCGTCCAGCGGATCCACATTGAAAGACTCTACATGGAAAAAGGTCCCTGTATCAAAGGGCAAAAGGCGTGGAGTGATCCTTGCGATACTTGCCATTGGATCAATGTGGGCAATTTCCGATGACGCAAAGCATAGATATATGGCAGTGAAGAGGACTTTACGTGTATTCTATGCGCTGGTTCGATGTCTCAGAGAGTATGGTTTACCCTCGGTTATCGGGCACCTTCAGCAATGCTACTTCCACAGCTGACATGTAATGTTGTAGTTACCAGTACACCCTAAGATTCAAGGCACAGGATGGGCATGAATGGCAGGCGGTACTAAAGGCATGTCACAAAAGATGTGCGGAACGTACCCTTGAGGTTTTGGAGCAAAACGGTTCAATATTTATCAAGCTGGGCCAGCACCTGAGTAGCATGAACTACCTGCTACCAGAAGAATGGACTAAAACGTTTGTACCGCTACAAGACCATTGCCCAGTGTCATCGTACGATTCCATAGCAGCCATGGTTTTAAAAGACACGGGGTCACCACTTGACGAACATTTTGACCATTTTGCCAAGACACCTATCGGTGCAGCATCGCTCGCACAAGTTCATTTGGCAACCATGAAGGCCACTGGCCAGACAGTCGCTGTGAAAGTGCAGCACCCAGCCTTGGAAGAATGGGTACCACTTGATCTATTTTTGACGCGGACAACGTTTTCAATAGTCAAGTTCTTTTTTCCTGAATACGACCTTGAATGGCTTTCGAACGAGATGGAGTCCTCTCTTCCCCTAGAATTGGACTTTGCTCTCGAAGGGAATAACGCGTTGCATACGAAGGAGTACTTTTACAAGATGCACGACTCACCATTGGTAGTACCTGACGTTATATGGGGTATGAAACGGATCCTTGTCATGGAAAACGTGTCTGGTCATAGGACTGACGATTTGCGCTATCTTGACTCCAACGGCATTGATCGTGACGAGGTCTCTGCGGCCTTAGCACGTATCTTCAATGAGATGATATTCGGGGACACGCCTCTCCATTGTGATCCGCACGGTGGGAATATAGCGATTCGCAAGAATAACGACCGAAGGAAGCCTAACTTCGACATTATACTCTATGACCATGGACTGTATAGGGATATACCAAAGCAGCTTCGGCGAGATTACGCGAAGCTTTGGCTTGCAGTCATAGATGCTGACGAAATTGGTATGCGCAAATACGCATACGACGTTGCCGGAATCACCGACGACCAATTTCCCTTGTTCGCGAGTGCCATCACTGGAAGGGATTACATAAATGCCACTAATTCAGTAGTGTCTAAGAGATTAGATCAGGAAAAGGAGGAAATTTCTAGTGCCATGGGAGAAGGCATGCTGCAGGAGGTGATTCCCTGGTGGACGTCTGTAGATGAAGAATATCATGGCTGACGAAAGAAAGCTGGTCCAACTTTTGGGCAAAGTGCCGCGGATCATTCTTCTGATCTTGAAAACAAACGATCTCAGTATGTGCTTATCGCCCTCGTCCAACTTCCTGGAAGTCGCTTGCTAACTCCATGAAGCTCGCAGCCTTGACGAGAATCTGCACACTCGAGAAGGTCCGGTCCGTAATTTCATGATCTTAGCTCGCTATTGCAGTAAGACGGTATTGCAGGAGCAAGTGGAAATCATTAGCCAGAATGGCAGTATCTGGTGGCCCTCCAATCTTCTCCGGCTCGTGGGGGCTTGGACGTCTTTCATGAGGGTGGAAGTCAAGCTATCTGTGTACGAGTATTACATCTCTTTTCGGCGTTTTGCACGCCTTTCGCCAATTGCAAGCATTTAGCGGGATGTTGTTGGTCGAAGTGATGCATCAAGAAATCAGAGTGGATGCGTGCACTCCACATTCTCGAGATTTGACGAGGGGACAGACTTTGTCGTAACAATAATAATCAACATTCAAGCTATTACTTATCTTGTTGCAGAAAGGAGGACAACGCTGCGCGGGCCAATTAATGCAACTTGACGTCACCAGAAGGCTCCTCCGCCGAAACACAAAAAGCAAATTGTGTTGGTGCTGGGCTGAATTCTGTCTGTGGTTTCCCCAAGGCCATTAACTCTTTGCTACATGGCTTCTATGAGTAGAGTACCTCCTCCACATCTAATGCTCAACTAGCTCCCATGTGCATTTAAAGAGCACACTTCTGTCAGCATGGAGGAGCAGGTGGATAGGCTCGTCCAGAAAACTTGGAGTGAGCAATCGACCCAAGTCAGCGTCCATTGTCGTCAAGCTATGATCATGACCATTTCAAGTCAAGTACAAAGCGACACCGAGCTCAAAACGCCTTCTCATAGCCGTGTCTGGTATTCCTGGATCAGGTACGCAATCTCGAATTATCAACTAGCGCCTCTTCTGCCTTTGCTCTAATGCTCATCTTCTCCTCCTGCTCATGCCCCTCACTTACACGTATTGTAGGCAAAACAGCTCTTGCCAAACTCGTGACAGAGGGGCTTAATGCTATTCACAATGAGCAAGCTCCTGGCTGCGCTTCCACCCCCGTTGCAACATCTGTCCCTATGGACGGCTATCATCTTTCCCGTGCCCAACTGTCAGCAATGCCGGACCCTATCACAGCCCATCATCGCCGAGGGGCAGCGTTCACATTTGACGACAAAGCCTTTCTTGAGCTGGTCAAAGAGCTGCGGAAACCACTTTTGCCAGAATCGAAGACCGTCTACGCACCGTCGTTCGATCACGCCCTTAAGGATCCGGTTGCTGATGACATTCAGATACATCCCTCGTCAAGAGTTGTGATTCTGGAAGGCAATTATTTAAGTTTGAATCAAGAATTGTGGAAAGAGGCCGCAGAGTTGATGGACGAATTGTGGTTTCTAGAGGTGGATTTTGAAACGGCAAGAAGACGATTGGTGGTGAGGCACGTCGTGGCTGGCATTGCAAAGGATGAGGAGGAGGCAGGTAACAGGGCTGATGAGATTGATCTGGTTAATGGGAGGCAGATTGTGAATCATAGACTGGAGGTCCAAGAGGTAATAATTAGCAAGGAAGATGAAAGTTGGCGCCCCGGAGGACAACGAGATCCAGAGTAAATGATTGCGCATTTGGGAAGAGCTTACTGTGTCTGTATAGGAGGGTTCTTGAAAAGATAGAGCTACGAGGTCAGGGGAGGCACAATCGAAATGAAAATTTACGAGTATATCTATTGCATCTCGGCTGAAAGGCGGCCTCGACCTCGATAGCCTCCGTTCATCTATCCATAAGTATAATACATTTGATAACGAATTGTTTTCAACAAAGGCTCTGAGAGAATACTCCCATGTTTCGAGCTGCGAGCTGTCTCGATGCATCAGGCAATCGGCTGGGTTTGCTTGCTACTTGATACCCTCCGAACGATCAAGAGGCGAGACAAAGGCTACCGAGCAAAATTCTCTTCGCGTGGGAATACCAAACTGGGGAGAAACGAAAGTAAAGCGGGTGGATCCGCCCAGCGAAACAGCCACCGGTGCAATGTGACGAGCTCCTCGTGCATTCGGGAAATTGCTTTTGTGAGACAATCTTAGTGAGTGTGCCGTGCCGGTAAATGGGTTGCTTTTAACGTAGAACCATCGCCTCCATCTCACAGTCTCTCTCGAAGTGTGCGCCCACCCGTACCCACGTGTCTTCCTGCGGCAACTGGGCGTTCTTCGGAAATCTGTCCTTCAAGTCTGTGTAGGTTGGCCTCCATCTGCTGCAATTCCTGTTCTCGTTCTAACATCCGCCTACGCCTCGCAAGATGCTCGTCCCGATATTGCTGCTGATCCAGTCTCTGAGACAGTGCTTCAATGCGATTGGCTTGGCTCTCAACTTGTGCAACTTGCGCGTCGAATGCGTCAACAGAGTCGTCCTCGGAGTCGTCGTACTCCGCTGGACAGGCTTCAACTTCAGTATTGGTGGAAGGTGCCGTAACCACAGTACCGTACGATGATGTGGGATTGGATGAGGGTGAAGTCGACGACGCCGCCGCTGACGTGAAAGAAGAATGGGCGCTAGGAACCCTTTCATCTGGTGGTATGGTTGTGAGGATAGTCTCCCATTGATCGTCATCCGGACTGAAGCTTCGCTCCCGGTCACCAAGGCCGTCAAAATTGCTCTGATGATGACGCCTACGTGCAGGCCTTGGTATTGCTTGGATAGGACGACTCATCCGACGTAGACGAGGAAGCTCAGCCAAGTCATGGTCTCTCACTCTGCGCATCAGCTCCAAACGCGTCTCTACCAATTCTAGATACGCTGCTTCTTGCTCGCGTACCTCTGATGTAAGCGCATCTTGGTCGAGATCCCTCATTCTCGCGATCTGCGCAGCGTGTGTTGCGATGCCGCCGCGCTCACCGCTATCCATCATTTCCGCCATTCTTGACGAGAGCCGCGCGAGGACTTCCTCGCGCACGGCGTTAGCTCGAGCTTCGTCCTCGCCATCTAGCCTATGAGCTGGTGCGAATCTAGGAGTGAGCAAGGCGGTACCCAACGGCGGCGAGGGAACATATAGAGTGGACCGATTTGAGGTGTCGCCTGACGTGTAAGAGGGTGTTGGCAAATATCGCGGAGGCGGCGACCTTGCTTCATCTGCCCTGGCTGAGGTCTGTGATGCTTCAATATCCTCGGCGCCAACTGGCCGCCAAAGGGCTGTCGCTGTAGGGGCTTCGGAAAATGTTGTTTGTCGAGAAATCCTCAGGCGCCGGCCAGGGCGCTCGTAGCTCAGCGCATCTCTCAGCAGTGCGCGCCCACTCTCTAAGCGGCTGCGCTGGCTTGCTTCAGAATGTGCTAGGTCTGCCTCTGCTTCGACATCATGAGCATCGGTAGGATTAGATATCGATGAAGTGGCGCTTCGATCTTGTCGGCGTATATCCTCGAGCAGTGAGCGTCGATCCGCTAGCACTCGCATGGGACCTTGGGAGCGATTTCGGCTATGGGACAGTAGTGTGGAGAGGGTTGATTGATGATCGCGAGCGTTTGGGCTGTATCTAACGGTGCGTTGGCGTCGAATGGCTGATCGCGCCGGGGCCGTAGGATCTGCTTTAATAGTGGTCTTGGAGTCGCTGGCGTCAGGCTCGCAAAACATTCTGTTTGAGGATGACGATTGATTAGCATAACATTCGTGGCCTTGAATTTTGAATGCCTAAGCATAACGAGGCAGCTAAGCACGCGAAAGATAAACGCAGGCGCAAACAGCACCGCGACAATTACGACCTATCAACTTACCGTAAACCCATCGAGCAGGTTTGACGCGAAGATACCAATGAGGCGAGAAATGATATCTCGAATACGACCAAGATAGCTTTATCTTCATATGAAGGTGAGCGACAGATGAACTTTGCGACTGAGAACAGTTGAGACTGAGAGCCTGAGGAGCAGGCGGAAGGGAGGGCGGGCTAGCGATCACTGGTAGGGCTGGCGTTTATGCGACCCGGCCCCTTGAGATTGAGTTTCGAATCACAAACCCTGCTACAGTGCTAATTCATAACATTATGAACACGACACTGAATAGTGTTGTACTAGTACACGTTCGGGTGAAGCTTTCATGAATTCGAGCAGCAGCTGAACTCTACACTGAAATGGAGATGGCACCACTTCTGCCATGATTGAATTAGGCCTTGCGCGGATCACTCGACTCTTGAAAAACACCCCAATTCCATGGCGCGCAATACATGTTGCAGGCACCAATGGCAAAGGCTCTGTGTGTGCCTATGCCTCGGCAATGCTGAATGCTGGGAACATCAATTGCGGCCGTTTCACGTCTCCACACCTGATTGATAGGTGGGACTGCATCACCATCAACGAGAAAAGCGTGGATGAGGATTTCTTTCGCGAAGTTGAGGCCGCTGTGAAGACGAAAGATCAGAGCGAGGACATCCAAGCCTCCGAGTTTGAGATCCTGACCGCTACAGCATTCGAAATATTTAACCGGGAGAAGATAGAGATCGGTGTTGTCGAGGTTGGTTTGGGTGGCCGAAACGATGCAACGAATGTCCTCGAGCATCCAGCAGTCACTGTAGTTACCAAGATAGGGAAAGACCATCAGTCCCTCCTTGGAAGCACCTTCGAAGAGATCGCGTTGCACAAGGCGGGCATCATGAAAGCCGGCGTGCCCTGTATTGCGGACGGAAGTAATACGACAGGCGTCCTTGAGGTTCTGAAGAGCAATGCAGTAGAAGTCGGTGCTGCCTCGTTGCTTCTTGTTCCTCAAGACGCCGATCCAGCTGGTCAAGTCTGGAACGTCGTGGCCAAGGAAGAACTCATGGACCACCAGCAGATGAACATATGTTTGGCGTTTGAAGCTGTCAAGGAGGTGCTTTCCCATTGCTATCCATCACTGGACCCGCTCCGGCTGTTGCCTTCGATCCCAAATGCTGTTTGGCCGGGCCGTCTGCAGAACCTCACCATCAGATCTTTGGCTGGCAATGAGCGGGAAATGCTCCTTGATGGGGCTCACAACAACCAGTCTGCCGAGGTCCTGGGCACATATGTAGATCAGAAACTACGTGAAAAGCATCGCCCTGTGACCTGGATGATTGCAATGTCGAAGGGAAAAGATATTCATGAACTACTGTACTTTCTTTTGAGATCAGGGGATAATCTTATTGCTGTAGAATTCGGACCAGTGGAGGGTATGCCGTGGGTATGCCCAGAAGAAGCGGACAGCATACTGGGCGCAGCACGAGGACTGGGCATTTCAGATTCTTCTCAGATCTTGTCTGGAGACTTAGCACAGGCGCTTCAAGTAGCTGTGCGAATTGCCGATGGGGGACCACTAATCGCTGCTGGGAGTTTGTATTTGGTGTCAGACATTTTGCGGCTGCTGAAACAGGCCGAGCTTCTGAGCAAGTGAGAAGAAATGAATGGACCTATTACCACTGTTCAAGACGACAACACTTTACAGTAATCAACGTAACATACACATTAATCAGTAACTTCGGCTCTGCCCCCCAAGATCGCGTTTTGTAAAGTTGTTCGATACAGGAACAATAGCGGGAACACGCTTCCGCGTCAATCACCAGATTTAAAGTTTGAACATGTCAATACTAATTTTACGTTTACTCTTCTCTCTTAGCACAAAGGCAACGTCGGTCTCTTCAGACTCTGGGATGCGCGTAGGAGGACAAGGGTTGTTTCGCTAACCGCGTGTCAAGGTTCTGACGGGGGCAATGACGAGCAGATCCGCATGAGCGCAACAACACATGGAACGGTCCTCCACTTACGTTCTTGTCAACGCCTTGAGCGAATTTGAAGACAGTAAATGGTACCATCGCCGCCAAGACACACGGTGCTGTCCCCATAAACGCTGTATGATGAGGCTCACGCGCAGCCTGTGCAGACAGAAAGGCCATTCCCCAGGAAAAGGCTAAAACTTCCTACAATGGTCTCACGCAGCCCCCTGGTGGGGGCTCCTGCAACAGATTCTCATCAAGGCGATACAGCTCACCTACCAAGCAAGAAAGTCGTAAAGGAGACGCAGAGGGAACCCGCTGGCCTTGAGACTCCAGAGGAGCCCAAGAAGGAGGGACAAACGCTCAACAGGGCTCAAGATGTTGCCGAGCTCAAAGATTATGTACGCATCGCTGCACCAACGACTAAGGCTTCTGATTTCTGATTGGATGCTAGCAACTTGGTGATTGTCTGGGCAAAGGCGCTTTTGGATCCGTCTTCAGAGCGCTGAATATGGGAACTGGGGAGACCGTGGCTGTGAAACAGGTCAAGTTGGCAGATCTACCTAAAAGCGAATTAAGAGTTATCACAGTACGTTTGCAACCCTCCGCCTTCCGGTATTGGATCACCTCGCTAATACTGGTTTCTTCGTGACACAGCTTGAGATCGACCTCCTGAAGAACCTAGATGTACGCTCTTCATTCCAATAGTCTAGCAAGACCGTTAATGGAATTTCTAGCACCCAAACATTGTCAAGTATCGTGGGTTCGTCAAGTCGGCAGAGTCACTCAATATAATCCTGGAGTACGTGGTCTAGCCTGCCTATGGCCTGCTAACGGAAAGTGCTAATCGGTTATCCATCAGGTATTGTGAAAATGGATCATTGCATTCAATTTCGAAGAACTTTGGCAAGTTTCCAGAGAATCTAGTGGGCATCTACATGTCCCAAGTACTCCATGGACTGCTTTATCTCCATGAGCAGGGTGTCATACATCGCGACATCAAGGGGGCCAACATCCTCACAACAAAGCAGGGCCTTGTGAAGCTTGCAGACTTCGGGGTCGCTACAAGAACCACAACTTTCCACGAGTCTAGCGTCGTCGGTACGCCTTATTGGATGGCTCCGGAAGTGATTGAGCTGTCAGGTGCTACCACAGCGTCCGATATATGGAGTCTGGGATGCACAGTGATAGAGCTCTTGGACGGAAAGCCTCCCTACCACAAATTGCAGCCCATGCACGCTTTGTTCCGCATCGTGAATGACGATCATCCCCCGCTTCCGGAGGGGGCATCTCCAGTGTGTCAAAAAATTAGAAGCAAATGAGGAACAAGAAAGCTAATCTGGCGGCAGATTGTCCGCGATTTCTTGATGCAATGTTTCCAGAAAGATCCAAATCTTAGAGTTTCCGCACGAAAGCTGTTGAAGCACCCTTGGATCGTCAACGCGAAGAGATCTGATGCCGTGGTACCCAAGAAACCTACGGAGTATGACGAGGCTGTGAAAAGCGTCCAGCAATGGAACGAAGCCTTGAAGTCTCCAAACGCGGGATCCTTACGGAGGACCTCGCGGCCAATGTCCTCCAGTCCAATACCTGGACGGCGGGAAACCAACCATCCAGCTGTAACGCCCGTTCGAGGTCCGCTCAATCTTGCAAAGCCCCGCGTCAACACGGAGCAGTTTAGATCGCCCAACAATACTGCCGACGACAATTGGGACGATGATTTTGCTTCGGCGATTTCGCCCAGCGCTTTGCAACTTCCCCACCTGAGGCCACATGATAATTTTGGGGGCTTGCTATCTTCAGAAAAGCTCAAAGCTTTCGCTTCTTTTGAGACTGTGACGGAGGAGGCAAATTGGGACGATAATTTTGAGGGAGATCTTACGGTGAAGAGTCCTCTCCAGCTGACCGAATCCGATCCATTAGACACGATTCGCCCCTACAATCCGAGGCGCCCAAACACTTCGCAACCGAAAGTCCCCAATTCGAACAAGTCTCCACCTTTGAAAGTTTCCCCAGTCGTTTCCCGCCGGGTCATGGCCGCACCAGCTGTACATCAAAAGCAGTCTCCGGCTAAAACCAACCTAGTCTTGCCGACAACCAAGTCCTACACTGAAAGCTCAGAAGATGACTTTTCAGATCTCATAGCATATGATACTGCAATTGAGAGCGGATTTCTGAAGAACAAAGTAGGACATTCTGTTCTCCATTGGGTTGTCCAGAATTGCTAAATAGTGCACTACAGCACAGCCATGCACTGTCACCTCGACTATTCCACCCGTCGGACATGAGCTCTCTGATTCATTCCATGCAACCGCCGAAGCCCGGTGGTAGCCTGCGCCGCCCTCCAACGATATCGAGACAACCTCTTATGCGGAGAACAAGATCTTCCGTCGAGATTCAAAGATACGCCGAAGATGACCACGACGAGGACTACTCAGACATATTTGGTAAAGGCAATGCTGTTCTCGACAAGCCAGAGAGTGAGAGGGGCTCTGATGAGGGCACTTTGATGCTGACTTCGAAGCTGTCGAACAACTCATGGCTGGGGGACGATGACGATGACGATGACGACCCTTTCGCTCAATTAGAAGAGGGCTTCGATGAGATGGATCTTGAAGCGAATGTCGCTAGAGACAAGTATGCACGGTTGTGTACCCAAGTCGAGGGGCTTGTTGGCTCTCTCAAAGTCTCTCAGGCGGACGACATGCTCGCAGACCTGTCAGAGCAACTGCTTGAGGTGCTTTCCGACTTGCCAGATACCAAGAGTGTCATAATCAGTGCTCATGGTATGCTTCCTATCTTGGAAATCCTAGAGAATTGTCGGCATCGCGACGTTATTTTCAATCTTCTAAAGATAGTGAACGTCATCATTTTCAATGACGTTGAAATCCAGGAAAACCTATGTTTCGTTGGAGGCATACCAATCATCACCAAATTTGCGTCGCGGAAGTACTCTAGTGAGATCAGGCTCGAAGCAGCAGCCTTTGTACGTCAAATGTTCCAGACGTCGACCTTGACATTACAAATGTTTGTCAGTGCAGGAGGGCTCAAGGTATTGGTTGAATTCCTCGAAGAAGACTATGAAGAGGAGCGTGACCTAGTTCTCATTGGGGTAAATGGTATCTGGAGCGTGTTTGAGCTTCAGGGTCCTACACCGAAGAACGACTTCTGCCGCATCCTTTCTCGAAACTCTGTTCTAGATCCTCTGTCTCTGGTTCTGAGTAAGGTCCTCGATGAGGAGGATGAGCTAGCCGAGCTCTGCGAAGGTCGAATCGCGAATATATTCTTCCTCTTCTCGCAAGCCGAGAACCACGTGAAGGAGTTGGTTGCAGAGAGAACAGTTCTACACCGTACTGCAATCCACTGGTCTGGTGCATAGGATTTCGCTAACATATCTGCAGGCGTTCTCAAAGAGTTGAAACGGATGTCACCAAACCATCAGATCACAATGTTGAAGTTCATCAAAAACCTCTCCATGCTTTCAACAACGCTAGATTCGCTACAGAATTCGAATGCAATAGACGTTCTTACTGACCTGCTTCGCAATAGTTCCAAAGAGCCTCATTCGAGAGAAGTCTCGAACCAGATACTCAATACAATCTACAATTTGTGTCGACTTAACAAATCGAGGCAAGAGGATGCTGCCCTCAATGGGATCATCCCAGTACTTCAGCGTATCATCAAGACAAAGGGACCACTTAAGGAATTTGCTCTGCCCGTACTCTGCGATATGGCGCATTCTGGCAAGGTGGGGAGGCGTGAGCTCTGGAGAAACAAAGGGCTCGCATTCTACATCTCCCTCCTTGCAGATGAATACTGGCAGGTGACAGCCCTTGACGCAATCTTCATCTGGTAGGTGCTCTTGTGCAGAGAACGCATCCAAAATTGCATACTGACACATTTCAGGCTTCAAGAAGAGACGGCTAAAGTGGAAGAGCATCTTCTCGATGGAACCTTCACAACTGGTATCATCAAATGTTTCACTACTTCAAAAGCAAATGCTTTTGAGAACCTCTTGGAGCCTTTGCAAAAACTTTTGCGACTGAGTCCACCAGTTGCACTTAATTTAGCCCACCCTGACCTCTTTCACCGCATTCTACGCAAGCTCCAGTCAAACAAGGCAGTAGTTCGACTCAATCTCCTGCGCATCATCCGCAGCATTTGTGATGCCAGTGAAGAGCAGGGAGCCCTGATCAGCAGATATGGCCTTGAAGACACCATTCAACGACTGGCAGAGAACGACGGAGCCGTTTTGGTGCGAAACATGGCGGGTGAGCTTATCAAATCAAGTGAGATAAACGACAAGCTAGGTATGAGTGGGAGCAAACGTCGACCGGGAAGGCGCTCTAGCTCCTCGACGACGCCGCCGAGCTTACTGACAAGCTATTCGATGCCTTCCACACCCACGAGCAATCGTTCGGTACATTCAACAAATTACTCCATTGGTCGAGATGTCAGGCAAAGGAGCGCCATTAACGGCGCAGTGCCGTATAGACCGTCGAGCAGAGATGAGAATGGTACCAGCGCCCTGCCTGTCATTGTGAATGGATCCGGGTCTGTTGCGAAAAGTCGACTTCCTCGCACCACTTCGACACGGCCGCCACGACAACAGGCAGTGGTGTCACCGAAGAAGGGGGAGAACGCTGTACCCAACGGCGCTACGCAGGATGTTGGTCCAATGCCTGGTCCACATTCGAGAAGGCGAAGGCGAATTAGCGGCGATACACGGTAAAGTTAATGAACCTCCATTTACGAGCTAAGGGAGTAATGGAAGCAAGGTTGGACTTGGGTCAGAATGTATGCATAGCATTGGCGTCGGTTCTCTGAACATGCTCAACGTGCAAATAGCATGAGCACGCCGAGTCTCACTTGCAGCATCTCTGCGCGCCTACTTCTAGACCCAGTGTTTGATACTCTTAGAGCGTCAACTAATTGTATGAGAATGAAGGGAATGAATGTCTTGTCTACAGCGACTATGAAGAAATATCGAAGTTTCGAACATTGTAGTACATGTTCAGACAGCAACCTACCCGATATCTTTCTCAGGGTAATGTAGCTTATGGAGTAGCCGACCATACCTACGAGTACACTAATACCGTAGGCCAAGTCAAATACCTTACGTTAGCTATTAGTGATACACTTTACACGGTGTTGTGTGTATTCTTCAGCCACGACATGCCGTCATTGCCCAAACCGGATTCATGCTAGCGTTGGAGAAGTCAAATCCAACTTCATCTCCCGCCCAGCTTTACCTCCCATTTTTTCCATTTCTTCGTCTTGCCAAACAAAATAATTTTCTACCCTCATACCATCCAGAATCACTCACTCATCAACCATATCAATTCGCACCAAACACTCAGTCACAATGGCAACCCTTCACTGTAAGTCCTTCTGCCACTCGTCCAAGCATCGTCTATCATGTATCAAGCTTGCATCACTGGTCAATCTTTATTTGCCTACTATGAGCCTTTGATATCTCCCATCACCATTCACTCCGCTTGCCCGTTCAATCACCAAGCCAAGCTCCCTGAATCGCTCTCCCCTAATTCCGCCACCTTCCACATCATCCCTCCAGCATCCCCTCGTCAAGTCTCCAAGAATGGTTGACCTTGTACCAACACTCATTTAACACCAACTTACAGACCTCCCACCTGTCAAGCCTTCGGCCATCGCTCTCGGCACCATTTTCAACCACGCCGCTTCGCTTGCCATCCTCGCACCTGTCTTCGGTGACACTTATCACCGCGCACAAGCCGCAAATTCCAAGGAGGAGTTCCTCAAGTCCAAGGAGGCCGCCGGTGCCGCCGCTGCATGGGGTTCATCCCTAGTCGGTAGCGCCGTTCAGTCTTACGGTGTCGGTGCCTTGATCAATGCTACTGGTACGCTGAGCTACAAAGGTGCCGCCTATCTGGGTAGCTTGATCTTCATGGCTAGCTCTGCCCCGAGTGTACGTAACATAGCCCTGTTTTCGACCTTTCAAAGCGGAATGATCCTGGCTGACATCGTGATATCATAGTTCATCTCTCAAATCTTCACCGAGAAGCGTCCTCTCGACACTGTTGCAGTGGGCGCCCTTGCCCGTGTCTTCGAGACCGTCGGTCTCAGCTTGTTCCTTACATACTGGGGAACCCACACCAACCCCTTCGACTAAACGTATCGTTTTTGAATGCAGAGCTTAGGCCGCCTTTGAGAAGTCTAGATCAGCAAAATACAGCAAACATGGAATACGAAACAAAGAGGTGGGATCGTATGGTTCTTCTAGCCAGCCGACGATTGTGCTTCTGATGGCGTGGCTACGGGCGGTGTTGTAGTAGTTTTGTGTGTATCAACAACAACTTTATCGAGAACCCAGCAAATTGCTCTACTCTCTATATTTCGACCCCACCGCTGATTGATCTGACTGCTACTAACATTGCCTATGCTTTCTATGAAGCCTTCTATTCGTCACTTCAGGACACTAGCCACCTGTAAAAGCCAAGAACTGCTTTCAAGATGATTTTGTACGACTGCACACTCCCCCTTCTCTGAATTGGAAACACTGTCTGTGGTCTTATTGCGTGTACACATCCTTCCGTCGTGTACAGCATTTACTCCCTGATGTGGACACTCACTTTATAAATCATGCTTTCTCCGCAAGCCTACATATTGTCACAGCTGACAGAACGCAGAAGTCAGAAGACAGATATTTACCATTGTCTGTTTCATCTTCTATGTTCTTTCCACGGTCCACGTTCCTCGCATAGTCCATCGTAGAATTACGAATGAAGCCTGTTGGGTACCGTTAAAGATGACGTAGTACTTGAGTTGTGCTGTCCTGGTTTCACGAATATCAATGGGCGATTCTTGATTGGCCACTTTCTAGAGCTGTAGCTCTGGTGTGGATGGAATAAATGACTCTGCCGAGTTTGCAGCTTTTGCACATCAGGTTCCTTGTCCCATTCCATGGCGTTCTTTCCAAGGTTTCAACTGCTAGAGCTCTCCTACATGCTAGACGTGTCTCTCATCGCGACTGTATGGATAATTTGAGCAGGTCCCTCATTTCAACTCGACTTGAGCCCTCCAGACAGAGCCCACGGCGTTATAAACCTGATATGATTGCAATGTTCACTTGGCTGGTGTGAATTGACTGGGAATGATTGTTGCATTTTGCTCTAGACAAGACGGCTTAAATGAGGCTTATGGTGATAGTAAAACATTTAGCTACACTACACTGAAAGGCCGACAACAAAGCTCGCACGTCTTATCCTTGCGAGACGAACATCAACATTCATCAACGATTAGCACGGCGGCGGGGACCCGAAGCCTGCCATTCCATGAGAGGAGCCCTGCCACGGTTTTGTGACGCACGACGATCCGGGTCCCGTGCCACCAAGATGTTTTCGCCATTAGTAGAAGAGTAAGGTCTCATCTCGCCGTTCACGGGTGTTGGACCGGAGTCGAAGGAATTATTCCGACGGAAAATTTGAGTGTTAGCCTCACCGAGGGAAGGCAGGGAGCTGCTATAGGCCGGCTGGCGCATGGGAAAATGAGCGCTTACAACAGCATGCTGGTGCGCTGGAGTTGTGATCACGAGCTGCTGGCGGTGAGAGCTGGAGTTGCCCGATGGATGGTTGGTCTGACGGCTGCTGCTACGAACATGGCTGGAAAGGCCAATGCCTCTGTCAGAGGAATGCCGGCTGGCAACGGACGGCGTCCTCGATAATGTGATGCGACCTTCCCTATTCGGAGACGGATCGTGATTTCGTGAAGGAGCCGGCGACTCAAGCTGAGATTGCATAGCGAGTGCTGACTGTCTTCGATAGTACAATGTTGAGCCATCGCTACTGACTGACCGATAGCTGCGGCTGCTTGGATCGATTGTTTGATCTCCAAGCTCAATTGGGAACATGAGGCTTCCTTGGTGGTAACCCGTAAAACGACGCGCAGGCGGCTGCCCAGTGGAAGGCAGTGACGAGCTAGGCGAGCTAAAATCCAATGAGTGTTCGGTGTCAAAAGATTCTGGTGGTGGCTGCCAGCCGCCTCGCGCATAGACGGGGCCTGCGGTACCCGTGTTGGCACGGGGAGACTGACGGCGATCCATACGTGGCTGCCCATTGTTGGTCCTAGCCCCTGCCAAGGACGTGTTGGATGGCTCCATCGAAGAGCCAGGCGCAAGCATTGAACGACTGAGACCACCTTGAGAGGGGTGCCGCTGGGGCGTGATAGGGGCTCGTTGAAAGTGTGTAGCGTTGACATGGTCGTGCTGGTAATCCAGACCATGCATGTCAGAAGATGGAACCCTAGCCATATAGACAGACGGCTGCGGCATGGGAATAGGTGGAGGCGGCATTTGATCTCTACTTCGACATATTCCGAACCCTCTCCCGCGAAGTGCGTACTCAGTCTGGTGTTCGGTATCGCTCCGCGAATCCACACGCTTTCTCTTCGAGGAGGAACCATGTTGCTGCATCGAGTCCTGTTGCGTGACGCCACTACGGCCTTTGAAGATCCCAGCGCCTTGCTTCAAGCAGTCGAGATCAGCGGCACTACCCCGGGCAATGCGTGAACCTCCGTCCAGAGGAGAGGACTTTTGACCTGCGGGCTTGAGGTCCATACTCTGATGCTGGGAGCGTATATCCATTTGCTGCTGAGGGCGTAGACCCTCGGTTAGGCTGACACCAGCAAGCTTCAACGTGGTCTCAATGGATGAGACATCTTCGCCCAAGACCATGAGCCTCCGTCCTGCGGATAACAGCTCACTGAGAAGCAAGCTCAGTACCCTGCAGCAGAGGCGTAGGCACATGTATCGCAGAACTCACTCTCGCAAAGGAGCAACACTGCTCAGAGAGCGCACTATCTCTGGCTTCTTATCCTCCCAGCGCTTGAGCGCCTTTGTCAACCCTATGAGCTTCTCGCGTGTTTTGGTTCCGGAACGTAACAGAGAAAGGTAATGAAACTTCATGATGGTCAGCCATCGCAGACCAAGTCAAATCCAAATTGATTCACCCACTCGTAGTGCTTCAAGCCCGGGGTCTCCACCACTGAGCTCGATTGGGGGCATTTGGAAGTAGACATCTGGGATGTTCTCATCGTATTGGCCTTTGGAGGTCCCATTGATAAAGAAGAGCGCCTTGTTCGAGTGGTCGTCCTTCTCAATAGAGCAAAGGGGACACGGCGCTCGAGGAACCTCTTGAATGGAGTGAAATGGTGCGCCTGCATGTCTGGCGTATTAAGTCTATCTATAAAAGACTCTGTGCTGCTGGTGGGGCACAGACTTACCTCCACCTGGAAGATGCTTTCCGCAAGTGAGATGAGCACATTCAGTGAGCCAAAGCTTCGTGACTTTGCCATTCTGAGAGTCCTCGCGATCTTTGCGTATGAGGCCATTGTTCTGGTCATCATCGGCATATATAGTCGACAGTGTCTCCTGACAGATGGTGCAGCTGAGCACAATGTCGGCAGGCGAAAATTGAAGGCTCAGGCTCTCTTGAGTAACTGACATTATTGGCCTGGCAAAGATCAGGCCCAAGAAGGTACAGCAAGAATTTAAGTGACGGAATATCAAAATGGACCCTTCTTTCAGTACTTCAGTTTTCAGATGGGGCTCGGGCTGTTTGTTTGTCTTGATAAAAGCGATGTTAGTGAGGTCTAGGCATTGTTGTTTATGGAGACCCACGTTCCCTTTGTCGGATAATATTCTGCATTCTAGATATAAGGCAAGGCCGTTTAGAGGTTCAACAACTCATTCAGTGCAAGAGAGATTGGACCTAAGCTGTATCACGTTTGGAAGGCATGGACTTTGAGATAGGTACACAATGGCTACACACGAGCAGGGTACGTGCCCGCAAGGCCAGGTCACGTCCTAAACATTGTCGCTTTGGAGGGTTGTGCGCGAATGCAGAGACCAATATTTTCTCCCCTGCAAGTTAACAGAAAGGCAATACTCGTTAGACGTTTCAAGGGATGGAAGTATTGTCTGTCACAAATAAAGGACAGAGCATGGTGATAGAGAGGACAACGATTTTCAGTGCCTGTTATCAGTGTCTGTAATATACAGCTTTGACGATCAGCTATGCCACGAACTAAACAGCCAATCAACGATCCCTCTTTCATGCCGATCTTCATACAAAGGTCCGACAAGGGTACCTGTGACAATGTTTGTCAGCAGTAGCTCTCCGACACGAGGCTTCATTGACCTACTCCTCTGGATATCCTTGCTCTCTGTCAGCGTTCATGACATATTTCCTTCCTCCCACTGGAGATGCTCTGCTCATGCCACTGGGGAAAGGTGGAAGCCCATCCGGCCCGAAGATACCTGCTGTAACATTCTTGTCTTTCTCGAAAAAGGCTGACAGTCCCCTTTGCTCTCCTTCTTGCTTCACCTGCACCATTTGCTTCGCTCCTGCGTCTCCTATCTGTAACACATCTTCTTTTGGATTTGCTTTGCTTCCTACAGACAATAACCCTACAACGTCTGCCTGTTTGACCACACTGAGTCGGGGATAGTTGCGGCGTATATCTCGTTTGTAGTACGCGTTCTCTGCAATGTCGCCAGCTGGTACAGTGACTGGGTCATCATAGGCTTCTGGTGGGTTGGCGCCTGGAGGAGGGTTTCGATATTGAGGGTTCAGAGGGATCCCAGTCGACCTTTCCGGGTCAATGGCAAGAGCTCTCCGAATGCGCTCCCATACACCATGCGACTGAACAGTGTACTTCTGCTTGACTCAGCGCTATATCGGCGAGGATTTGCGCTAGAACTCGCCTTCCAAACCGCCGTAGCCGTCCTCGCCGATTGAAGTTGCCTCGCTGCTCCGGCTCCAGCATTTGTGGCCATGGATGCGAAGAAAAAGGCCTGATATTTGAGAGCTTGGTCAGTCCGAGATCCATTTTGAGATTCGCCTAAACGGCGAGGGTTCGTTTACCTTCACTACTGCGTTCACATCTACCAGCTATCAGGTGTGTTAGGTAGGTTGAGGATAAGCGGAATGAGTCTTTTCCATACGGACGCGACCTGTTCATAAAGACGCGACAGGGATTCTGGAAGTGGCGAGCGTGCCAAGCAGCTAAGTGAGAAAAGAACAGGCATACATTTGTTATACTGGAGAAGGAACATGGTTCAAAATCCCATTGCTCGTCTGCTTTTGGAGCTCTGTGCAAAGCCCGCCCTTGATTGGAGAGGAGTCGGTGTTACCCTTCGTTGCAGGGTTTGGCAAGAGATTTCCTGGGAATGGCCTACAAAGACATCCTAAGCTTATACTCCTCCGTCAAGATTCTGTGCAGAATCTGCAACTTCTGCTGCGACCTCAGCTTGGACTTCGTCCCCATCCGCCGTTTGTGGCTGCCCGACCTCCTGAGCACTCGTTCTTCCTTCTTCAATTTCCTTCTCGACCTTCTCACCTTCCGCTACTTTCTCTACTCTGTCACCAACTTCCTCCCCTCCGACAATTTCTCGAACAACATCAACGGTAGCAGCAGGACCCTGGTCAAACCTTGAACATTGAATTCGAGGTCACAGGCACGGGAAGAGCAAAAGACTTACACCTAGACTAACTGCTTTAACTTTCCCGTCTTTGTTGACAACAAAGACGCCTCGGGTGGTTCCACTGGGGGATTTCTTCATACCAATTGCACCAATAAGGGTCGCCGTCGGATCGCAGAGCAGAACGTACGGTAGATTCTGCTTAGTCTTGAACGTGGTATTAGATTTGGGAGAGTCTGTTGAAAGGCCGTAGATGGAATATCCAGTTGCTGTAAGAGGCGTGAACTCGTCTCGAAATAAGCACGCCTCTAGATTACAAATCCGCTGTCAGTATTGCCTATTTGAGGAGGTATATGGAGCCTTGGAGCAACTTTCGAGAGTGAAGATTCCCGAGACATGTCTCGAGACTCAACTTTTGCTCCAAATGGGGAAATATGAGCTCCATAGAAACGTACGAGTGGTACCTATTGAGGTGACCTGTATCAGTATATCTAGCGTCTTACTTCAAAAATCACACGTAGCTACATGTAAGTAGAATACTTGAAAACGACAGAGGAGCTCGAATTGAAAACAGTGGAATGCCTACATCCAGGTGTTGATGCTTTGGGATACGTAAAGAGGACAACCCCAGATTTGCTTTCATCCACAAGTTTCTTCAATGTCACTTTCTCGCCATCGTTGTTCTCGACCTCTCCACCAAAACCATCGATGGTAATGGTGTCACCCACAGCCACTTTCCTACCCGTAGCCGCTGAACCGTTTGCGGACGAATCGCCCTTCTTGCTAGAGGTAGTTGACTTGACAGAGTTGGCTTTCTTCATTGGTGGTCGTGATGGTGCTGGGTCAGGAGGTGCTTTGCGTTTACGCAGCTCTACCATCTTGGCTGTATGATGAGTCGCTCTGTAAGGAATGCAATTGAAACAGAAGATTGATGATTTAGTCAATCGAGAGGATTTTGGGGGGATGAGGGGGATGGTGAATTGAGGTCTACTACTTGTGCGGATCAAGGGCAACTGATGGCTCCAGCTGGCATTATCGAATGCTCTCCGATCGCCTTCCCGATCCCGAATGTTGGATCCATGTCCTTGATGCGTGCGCCACAGACGCAGTAGTATTCGTGGGAAGATGCGGGGGGGAACTTTCAAAAATAGTACTGTAGTACGGAGTAGAGTGGTGGAGATAGAGTAGTATGTCGATACGAATAATACAGGGATGTATTACGTGTATTCTGTGATTTTTCTGAGGTCCTTGTCTCCGAGTTCGTCGGGAGAAAATTTCCAGGTAAAAGCAATTCCGAGGATGATCCCAGGGCAAAATTAATTTCTTCACCACAACTATATGCATATTCGCTCATAGCTATCCATACATAGTCCTGATGAGTTCAACATAATCTCATCCTGAATTGAAGTCGTTTCTACACCTCCGACACCCATATTAGACTCGCTTTGCGTCTACGTACTGTACCTTCCACCCACTTCGCCCCTCAACCTCTGATACTCAGAGAATGCGCGTCTTTTCCTCCACCTATACCTTCGACTACAGCTGGAACGAAGTCTCAACAGCTAACTGGCTCAAATACTGCCCTTGGAACAAATCTTCTTCACATGTCATCGCCGTCGACACCCTCTCCCGCAATGTCGATCCCAGCACTGGCATATTACGCACGGAGCGCCTTATAACATGCACTCAGTCCGCACCAGCATGGGTCATTGCCATTATGGGTGGTAGCTGCACAACTCACTCATACGAAACATCCTATGTGGACCCGGTGGAGAGACGCGTGACTATGTGCAGCACCAACCTCACATGGTCAAATATGATCAGTGTGCGAGAAACTGTGGTCTATCAACCTGACGACAGTCGAAGTGAGCCAGGCCACGAGCGGACCAAGTTCGAGCAAGAGGCAAGGATCACAGCGTTGTGTGGGGGCTGGCAAAAAATGAGGTCCAAGATCGAAGAAGCCAGTGTGGAACGCTTTCGAGAGAACGCCAGGCGAGGGAGGGAAGGCTTGTAAGCACCCTTCCTGAGTTGTTTCTTTCCTCTTTCATATCAATTTTCGAGCAGACTCAATAATTTGTTTCAAAAAGAAATGCTGACTTTGAGATGGTGTAGTGAAGCCGTGCTGGAGATGAGTAGGAGGGTATTTGGAGAAGAAAAGGAGAAGGAAAGGAGAAAGCAGGAGATGGCGGCGTCTTGATCGACGAGACCGGGCTCGCTCTTCGGGCTCGCTCTCTTGAGGATTGCATTCATGGCTTGGTTTAGCGGTCATACAGACTGGCGTTTTGATACCACGGGATGATCACGAACAGCGAGATGTCACCATTTCTAAGGCGTCTAATCGGGCAATGCCTGTTCCCTCTTGCATATATATCTATCACTACACAGCCCTCAGAAACATAGACCAGCTCGGGCGGGAATGGTAAATTTATCTTCCTGAATTTATAAAAAGACTCCGGAGTCATCCTCGGTCTTTAATCCAACAGCGGACCACCCCGGTGTTTCCTGTGATATACTCATAGATCTACCTTGACCCTCCGGACTGATGAGTAAGACACAAAAATACAGTTCTTCTACCAGCCGAGAAGCGATATAGAGATGTTTCTCAAGTCGCACCCACGGAATGGAGAGTTGTCCTCCTGACACCCTGAGTAAGCATGGCAGACGTTGATGAAGCTTGTCCCACCCACCTTAATAGATTCATGGTTCTGTAAGCTGAAAGTCCGTTAGCTGGGGCTATTGTTGTGCATGCGTGCACCTCAGTAGTTAGAAGTCCCACCATGGAGGTCTCGTATAAGACAAGACCTGACGTCACATGCCCGATCTTGTTGATCGAAACTTGGCACATTTCTAAAGCACTGCGCCTAATTGTGTTATGGCTTCACCTTGGATTGTTGATGTAGTCGAAATGGATTGGGTGTGGTGGTGGAGGTTCTCCCAGTAATAAAGCTATTCACATCAGGCCCCCCAGCACAACCTTGCCCAAGCCAGCAAATTCAGCCTTGACTCCTTTTCTGCTTTCCTCCTCAAATTCTTTGATAATGCCTGCCACGATGATTTTGCGTAGTCTCGCATCCGCTTTCGCAAAAATCTCTCCAGTTCCTGGAACACACAGCGCTGGCGAAGGAATGAGACCCATGATTCGTGTGTAGCAATCGATCAATACGTCACACAAGGTTGCAAAGGTCTCAAAAAAGTCCGGATCAAAGGGCAATGACGGAGTGAGCAAGTGTGTGTATTCCTCGCCCGGTAATAGATCCTGCTCACTGGCTGGAAATGATGACGCAGTGGACCCAGCCGTTGCTCCAGTCGTCATCGCCTTCAGATCGGCTGGGTCGCTCGTATTCATTGGGAGCCCAATATCTGTCGCTGAGCTTGTTCTTCGAGCCTTCGTACTGACATGTGCGGCACGCTTAAACATTTGCGGTAGACGTGCCCTAGAAAGAGAGGAAGCAGAACCCCCTTCTGGTGGATGTATCTGTTGGTATGATTCGAACTCGACTAGAAGTGCATTAAGAGCACGGAGGCACTCCTGTGGGTTCGAAGAATTCAAGTCTAAAATGTTGGGAAGGGAAAGACCAAGCAACAGATAGTTCGTTGCCCTGCGGGCAAGCTTTTTTGGCTCGAAGAAGGGTATTTTAGCCAGATCGGACCTGCTAACGAGCAGCGTATTAAACCAATAGACCCGGCCCTCATGAGCCTTTCTCAAGTAGTCAAGGGTAGAAATCCTCTTGGACGACACGTCATGAATTTGCTGATATACGATGCTTGGATTTTGCACTCCTCCAGTGGAGGCTGGCGGAAGACTTGGGGCTGATAGTGAGGCATTGCTCCCGCCTTGGCCAAAGCTCACGCTCGATTGCGAGGTGCTTGGAGGCTTGCCATACTCGGGCCGAAGGCCGTTTCCAAAGGCAGTAGTAGCCATTGTAAGCGAAGGTGTGGAGTGATTGAGGTCTGCATAGGTAGAAAATGTTGCGACTGGCGAGAGGATTTCGTCCACGCTTTGCTGGATGGATGAAGCTTTATGTGACGTGATAGACGATGAAATCGAAGGCTGGTGTCTGCTCAAATATGAGGGAATGGGTTTCCTGTCCGACAGCTGTGATATGGCGGCTGCGTCTTTGCGAAAGGCTCCCTGGTAGGAGGACCTGGAAGAGGTGGAGGATCGTTTGGTGCTGAAGCTTGGAGAGTGTTCTTTGTCGATCAGATCCCAGGTCTGGTCAGTCTGTTGAGGAGGTGAGATATTGCTGGCGATGCGTTTGGCAGAGGATTTGATGCTGGACACAAAGTTTGTGGTGCTTGTTGGTCCTACCGAATTCCGATGCTGACCGCGCCCCATATCTCTCCAATGGGAGGCTAGTACATTGCCGGTGATGTCTCTCTGGAGTCTGGGTTACTTTGTCATGGTAGGCGGAATACAAAGCTATACATGAATTTGTTATAAAGCAGGCTGTAGATGAGATGGGTAGCCAATGTAGCTATCTAGTTGTAGGGACAGGTAGTCAGTATCAGGCGCTGGAGAAGGTGAAGGATCGACAGGTACCCCCACCATCCGCCATTTTTTAGCTCTTTATTTGGGGAAATTCTTTACATCCCATCACTTCCTATGGCTCCGCCCCCAAAATACAGTAACACTGCTCCTATCTTCTTATTGTCCTATCGAATGGACGACGCAGCTTTACCTAAGCCTGGCAAGTGGCCTGTAGAACCTCAGACCGATGTCAAGACTTCTGAGGACAGGATCTGGGTAGACGGCTGCTTCGATTTTGCTCATCATGGTTTGCATGCTCGGCGTCCCGAATTTCGGTGGTTCCAGAGAGCTTATGGAAATCAGGACATGCTGGCGCCATGCTTCAAGCCAGAAGATTGGGAAAAGAGCTCTTGGTTGGGATTCATTCCGACGAAGAAATCATGGACAATAAAGGCCCAACCGTGATGACTTTGAAGGAGCGGTTGGTGCCCCTCAGGATCATATCGAGAGGCTAGCTGAAGCTACAAGGCAGCGTGGCCGCCGTTGATGCCTGTCGCTGGTCGACAAAGTCCGTTCCATATGCTCCATACGTCACATCATTGCCATGGATATCCCACTATGGTTGCCAGTACGTCGTGCACGGCGACGATATCACATCAGACAGCAGTGGAGAGGATTGTTATAGGTATGTCAAAGCAGCTGGTCGGTTTTTGGTGGTCAAGAGAACGCCGGGGATCTCCACAACTGATCTTGTTGGACGAATGCTTCTTTGTACAAAGAACCATTTCATTAGGTCACTCCTGAAGACACTTGCTGGCGAAGAAGGATCTGAAAGCCCTGAAGAACGGAAAAGACTGGGAGACGAGATGACTCAGAGGATCAGGGATTACGCTACAGACGAGACTGGGTTGCAACCTGGACCACAAGTTCTGAGCTGGGCTGGATCTAAAGCGGCCATGGAAGATCATGCCTCAGAGGAAACAGGCACCTATCATACTATGGCCAATGGCAAAGCTCCTCATCAAAGCCAACGTATCGTCTACGTAGACGGAGGTTTTGATCTTTTCTCATCTGGACACATTGAATTTCTTCGGCAAGTGGCCATGGCGGAAGAAGCAATGGGCCATCAAAACGGATGGTATGAGGACCCCAATAAGGACTATGGCCCTGCATACATCGTGGTTGGTGTTCACGATGACGAGGTCATCAATCACTGGAAAGGTGTAAACTACCCAATTATGAACATTTTCGAGCGTGGCCTTTGTGTCCTTCAGTGTCGAGTGAGTGCGGTCCAAACGCTTTTCCAAGCCTCTGAAACTAACCCGCAGGAAGTATGTTGACTCTGTCATATTTTCGGCCCCTTTCACACCTAGCAAAGCCTACCTCACTAACATCCCGTACGGCATTCCCAATGCGGTCTATCATGGCCCCACGTCGTTTATGCCCCTTACGTATGATCCTTACACGGCCGCCAAAGCATTGGGTATATATCACGAGATCGGCAATCACGATTTCCAGAATGTGAACGCAGGGGAGATCGTGCAGCGAATCTTGAAGAGTCGAGAGATGTACGAGGAGAGGCAAAGAGCGAAGGGCGAGAAAGCTGCAACAGAAGAAGCTGTTCAGAGAAGAGAGGCGATGGAGCAAGAAGCAGCAAGGCTAGAGAAGGACCGAGCAGGTAACAGGTGAGGAACCGATGTCCACAATATCATCATTGATCACTGTTGTTGCATGGCAATGGCGTCCAAGTCTTCCTATCATGACTCTAGTCCAACTCCGACGTTTGTTCCTTTCTCTTTCATGACTCGAGTCTCATTGGCAGCTTTTTTTCTACCTCAGATCTAAAAAAGAATAACACCTTTCCTTACTGCGCGCATCTCCATCTCTGTCATGTGTAGCAACTTTCGAATTCTCCCTCGACGCCATTATCGTCAACGTGAACGATAATGCTTTTCAAAATCGTAACCATCAACCGTCCAACTATCTTTCATTTACCACAACACCCCATTCGTGATCTTCTCTTCCGTACATGATATTGGTAAGGTAAGTCTTCAAGATCGCCGCATACTTGCCCGTCACACCTTCAGACATCGGTATCTCTAGATCCTTCCCCCGGAAGTGAATACTAGATACCGGCGCAATGAAGAACTGCAAGCTCGTCAGCACATCAAAATCCTTGTCTATGAGAAAACGGGAGCATACCGCCGTTCCCGCGGCAAATGCTTCCAGTAATCTTCCGTCTTCTGCCGCGTCTTCGACCTCACTCATAGGGTATTTTCTCTCCACAACCTCGAGGTCTCCCCCCAACCGCTCTCTTGCCAACTGGAGAATGCTTCTTCTTGTCACGCCGTCAAGGATGATCTTGTCATCCAACGGGGCTGTTACCAATTGCAGCTTCCCACCAATTCTCCAAACCACGAAGAAATTACTCGCCCCAGCCTCTGTTACATCACAGTCCTTACCCAACAGCCACAGCACCTGGTCAAAACCCCTCGCTTTGGCTTCTCCTTGGGCAACTAGACTTGGTCCGTAATTGGCCCCCACTTTTGCGTACCCAAATCCTCCAGGCCAGGCGCGTACGGTATCTTCTTTGCTAGCCAAAAGCTTGAGTCCTGGCCTTGCTTTTGAAGACTGTTGTATACTGTTACTGCTTGGTCCCGTTGTTCCACTCGGCGTGTCGAAATTTGGGAAGCAGCATGCGATGATGTACAAGAGCGCTTCCTTGGGCTTCTGTACCCCCAACGCTGCCGCTGTCGCGATCATTGTCGGTCTCAGGTACAGAAAAGTGCCTGGCCGGCTCTTTGGTAACCACTTCTCACCGTCTACTGCAACGAGTGTCTCAATGAGCTTTTGCAGCTCATCAGGTTCGAAGGCTGGAAGGGATATGCGAGTGGCACTGTTGAGCATACGTCGGGTGTTGCGGTCTGGTCGGAAAAGGCGAAGTTTCAGGTCGTGACCGCGATAAAACCTCAAACCTTCGAAGCATTCTGTTGCATAGTGAAGGACAGAAGCGGTGGGCATGAGTTGCAACGGTCCGTAAGGTTGGATATGAGGAGCCGCCCACCCGCTTGTCGAGGTCCATTGGCAGGTCACCATATGATCTGTGCACACAGACTGTGTCCAGACCTCTGGAGAATCAGGCTCTGGGACGGCACGAGGACTGAGATTGCGGGTAAAGACGAGCTTAGAAGCGTCTAGCTCGTTGATGACAGGAGTGATATCGCCATTGGGGGTTATCGATGGTGCTGTCTTAGTGATGGTGTGCTTGATGCCACATTGAGTGAGCTCTGATGAGTTCTGAAAGGGTGCAATGGCGGTTGGGGCCATTTGTACGGCGTCAAAGTACAAGAATACGAGAGAAGACAAGAAATATGTATGACTTTTGCTCAATCGGACAGAAGGTGGAGCTTGGCAAGCGATCAATTGGGTAAAGCAACGGACAGAGTATCAGATAGGTTTGTGTTTTCGAAACAGTAACGTAGATAGGAAGGAGCTGTAGGGTTTTATATACACTTGCTGGGCCAAGAGATTGATACCGTCCCTAGAGTACTACATTCCCAACGCCGGAGCATTCGAGGGATCGCATAAAGAAAGTCTTGTTAAGCGGGATGATAAGAACTGATTCAACAACAATCAAGGGCTCCTTTTCGCCTTACAGCGGCTGTCCGTGGGGCCGATATCGCATTTTTGCTTTGGATTTCATGCTGCAGTCTTGCTCAAAATGACGCTGCAAGGTTGAACAGCCCGACAGAAGCCGGACACCCTTATTCTGTGTGATGGCTAAGGTTTAAAACTATCTCGACCGAAAAGCCATAGGTGAAAACCCTAGGCTTTGTGCTGCGATAAGAAGCCCGATTGAGGTCTGTAGCCGCTCTTAACCGACATTGAGAACGAAAATTAACTGTAGCTCCGCCTCAGACCGAGTCAAGAAGCCATATCTCTTGTACATCACGATATGGACTGGGGTCACTGAAAATCACACCCTTACTACTCGTCATCCCTCAGCATGGCCAGAAAGGATTCCTCGTACTTCTTCTGCTTGAGCTCCAGCTTCTAGTGAAGAGGAATTTGGTTAGCATGCGAAAGTACGATGAAGACAGCCACGGGTTACATGCCTTGTCGCTCTCCGTCATTGCCTCCATCGCCTCCTGTCCAGCTTTCTCAATCTGCTCCATGAATACCTTCCTCTCAGCCTCGATCTCTTCCATCATCTCTCGCTGCTCGGCGTCAACAAAGCTGTTCGGATCGAAATTACCCGCCAGGAGATTGTCAAGTCCATCAGGACCGATTATCAGCGAAGCGAAGTGACGAAACTCGGCCTGCACCTCGGTCCATTCGTCGAATTGGCGCTCAAATTCCTTCTCCTCGGCCTCTATAGTCTTCCGACATTTCTTCATGCGAACGCCGAGCATAGTCTTGCCGGATTGCTTGCCGTCCGTAGAGGTCCACTCGAGCTCTTGCTCCTCGAGAGGATCCGCAATCGCATCGCTGACCTTGATGGCATCTTGCTCTCTCTGATCGAAAAAATCGTAGGAGTCCACCAGGCGTTGCGAGAGGGCGAGATAGGTGGCGTCGAGGATAGCAGTAGCTTTCTCTTCAACAGTCTCACGCGACTGCTCAATGCTGCCTGTCGCATCTTGATTTTAGAGTGGAGAAAGAGACATTGAATTCAACGGATCTTACCTGCGAATTCAGCGGCCAGAGGGTGTTCTGAGATGTGCTTTGCTATGTGCTTGGGCTTGTACCCCTTGTTGCTCTTCGAGAATTTGGCAGGTTTCTCAATGGCATCCTTCATATGGTGGGACTTCTCCTCACGTCGAGCCTCGTTCTTGGTTTTCTTGAACATTGCATTCGTTGCGACGGAATTTTTGGCGTGAGCCTTGACGTTGGGTTTGGTCTTTGCCATGTTGAGTGAAGGGTTGAGGATGTGTTGTTAGGTGTAGTAATTGTTGAAGTAGACAGTTAACTATGAGAACAAGCCGGTTGAGTAGAGGAAGAAAGTCAAGTTGGTTGTAGAAAAATTTCTGCTTGTGCATGGAAGAAAGTAGAAGTCGGTGGCAAAAGAACCAGCCTCCTTTTCCATCAAAGTCAACAATGCGAATGTATCCCAGCTCAGCCCTCCAGGTCTGCAGAACGATAGATGAACAACCCTTGCCGAACGGCTTTGTTTTACTCTCTTTATGAAACCAGAAATTAGTATTGTGGGATAGGGTCTTAATCTCGGTCTTCGATCGTAGGAAGCCAATTTCTGTTGAGTTGTGCATGATGAACATAATCAAACTACGGCGAACCTAGCAACATTTCAATGACGCTGAACTCGTCAGGTATTCATTCGCAACAGAGGCGCCTTGCTTTGTTCTCCAGAAAAATTGTACAGCTATCAGCTCACGATTGTGCAGGTGCCTCTGGAGGTGCTTCCGAAGGGGATTCTGCAGGAACAAGAACTCCCTTCTCCTCCAACACCCTGGAAAGCTCTCCGTTCTGATGCATCGACATTAATATGTCACACCCCCCAACAAATTCTTTGCCCACGTAAAGTTGTGGTATCGTAGGCCAGTCCGAGTATTCTTTCAAACCTGACCGGAAACATGAGCACGTACTGGACGAATCTCGCAGACAAAAGGGGCTCGTGCCTTGCCTGAGCTCCTCATCTTCTAGCACATTGAACGCTGAGAACTTGTTCGGATCCACACCTTGCAATCCAAGAATCTGTATGCTTGCTCTTGAGAATCCACATTGTGGTGTCTCTGGCGTACCCTTCATGAACAGTACGACAGGCTTCGAGGCCACGGCTTGGTCTATTGCCGCTCTTGTTTCTGTAGACAGAAGTCGTAGTTGTGAAGGTGTGAGGCGCGTGAGATGAGGTTTGGAGAGATTAGCGGCGATTGGTCGCGAAGGCCGCGATGCATGGCGGAATCCCTGGAATATTCAGCATATTGACCATTAATGCACAACACCAATCTCACCTGCGAAAGTATTGTCCTGCAAATCATCTTGGGGTTGTGGAAAATTAAAACGAAGTTGGAAAGGGCGAACTCGATATCTACTTCGTGAGCCGGTGCCGATGACGCAATTTCAAGATCGACCATGCGACGGACCCCCTGATCATCCACTTTCTGGATTCTAGTTCCTCTTTCTACAGGCTTACTGTGTTGTGGGAGATTGCACATATTAGTCTTCATCGCCTGGACCATAGAAGGTATGATTGCACTTAATTGTATATGAAGCCACCATGACCTCTACTAATCCTCGCCCATTGCCAGGGCAACCATCCAGCATTTCAAATCCCTTCGTGGCATCTGAGCATGCTGGTGACGACAAGAGACACCTTCTCCTAGCCTCCAGCGGTAGCGTTGTGACTATCAAGCTTCCCAACATTTTGAAGGAGCTGTCCCGTTACAATGAACTTTCTATTCGAATTGCCTTGACAAAAGCCGCTGAAAAATTATTCGCAGGCCAAAGCGCCGAGCAGCCTTTATTTACATCTCTCTACAGTGGCAAGAATGTTGACGGGATATACCGTGATGAGGATGAACGGGACAAGCCATGGGTGAGAGGGAGGGGGGTAGGGGTATTCTTCACATTGAGCTACGACGTTGGGCAGATATTCTCGTGATTGCTCCTTTGTCGCCAAACTCAATGGCTAAAACGACTGCCGGCCTAGCGGACAGCTTGCTACTCTCTGTGGTACGGGTCTGGGACACTACTGGAGAGGTTGAAGGCAGTAGGAAGAAACGCATCGTTCTGGCAGCAATGAACACAGCGATGTGGAGGCATCCCGTTACGAGAAAGTAAATTCAGGTGCTGGAAAAGGACTGGGACGTTGACAAAGAGCATGATGGATGGATCGAACTATTGAGAACTGTGGAGAAGACTTTGGCTTGTGGAGACGCAGGAGACGGCGCAATGCGGGAGTGGAGCGAAATTGTATCAGTCACTGAAGAGCGGCTGAATCTCAAAGACAAAGACATATGAACAACTTGAAAATTTTCGAACCTAAGACCTGCGCGCTGTCCGCAGCCTGGATGCCCAAAATCACTTGCGCTATGAGAAACTCCTTCCAGATATCCCTTTTGCCTGGTTGAAACGGCTTCTTACCATGCAAGATGCACTCGTCACTCAATTGTCGACTTTCAAACCCTACTGCCGTCTCTTTCGACCGCCTATGGAAGCGCCATACCAAGCAAGAAAGCGGGTTCGTTGATGTTATGATGCTGATAGCTGTTATATGTCAATACGAGGACTACGTCTTGAGGACGGTAATTAGAGAATACCTGAGAATCCCGATGCCGCCAGGCTCGAGCATCGCCGATAATGGAAAATCTATGGGGTAGTTGAGCCATCTTCTAACAAAGCTTCTCAGATTATGTCCATGAGCGACCTTGAAAATTAGATCAATGAATACAAGGAAGTCCAATTTCAACTGCTTACGAGGAGAACATCGCAAGCGTTCTCGCCGTGCATATTTGGCTTGTGAATCTCGCGTATCCGTTCGATTATGCTGTCTAACCTCTCTACTACTTGTTCAGGGGACCTATATATAGCATTCATCAACAACGGCCCCTTTTAAGGCATGGTAGACAACGTACTCTCCTCCTTCACATCCGTCTCTGAAGTGGTCCCAGTCCTTACCGTTCAAGCCTCGCTTCTCTCTCAATTCTCTTATTTCCTTCGTGTTCAAGCCTTCATAGTCTCCATAATTCCATTCGGACAGTTCTGGCGAGACAGTAGCTTTAGATTTGAGCAAATTTTGTCGCGTGGCAGGCGCAAACATCAGCTCGTATGTCTTACGGGCCCTTTGCATCGGGCTTATGAGGATCAATGACAGCTTTGCTGGATCAATCAACTTGCCTTTTAGATTCCGGAGTCAGCATTCCTTCTCTATATTGATATTCGAGTGGTGAAATGTGCCAGTGGAGTACAAATACTCTCAAAAATGTCATCAATGTCTTATAACTCACATAAACGCGGGAGTGGAGGGGGTCAGGGGGAACGCTCCGAAAAGTGGACTTGCCAGGACCAATCAGCTGGTGCGCTGATCTTGAAACTTGAGCTTCGCCAGCGGTAGTAAGAGGTAGGTCAGTGGTACCAGTCCATCTGCAGTTGATTGTCAAGGATTGTCACCGCTTCGCGCAAAAATGGGTAAGATTGCTTACCTCCCGTTCATGCTCCACTCAGTCTGACCTATAATGTGTTAGCATGGGACATGACGATAGAAACATAGAAATAGGCAAACCATGACGAGCAAGGAATACGCGAGGTGTGCCAGCATCTTTGTCGGCGGCCATTGAATGTGAAAGTTCGATGCCCCAATGTTGACGAGGGAGCGGGGTATAATCAGTTCAAAAACAGCTGCGAGTCAAAACTATAACTCTCTCTCCAATTGATTTTGTCAAGACTGAGGTAACACCTGAGATTCTCGGGTCAAAGAAGCACCTCGGAAAACGTCATTGGATCCGCTCAAACGCTCTACGATACGAAAAATTTGTTGAATTGACAGCACTGGGCATGGAGAATGGTAACGTAGTGCTTCAAACCGGTACCAATGGCTAATGTTGAAGATCACCAACGAGTTGTGGGATTGTGAACAAGAAGCTAAAACCCCAGACTACTCTTTCCCAACTCCGGTCAACAATGCAAAACCCGCTCAACGTGAGGCCTCCGCTTCGCCTCTTCGCAATGCCAGAAGAGCACGGACATCAGTGACATATTGCAGAGCCTCTAAAACCGGAATAAGGTGTAAAAGGTCGTTATCGGTGGGATCGTTAATCCAACCCTCGATGGGTATTGCGTTGTCTATGATAAATCAGTCAGATACCATGGTTTAGGTCTTTGGTAACATTTTTACCTTCATGGAATATGTAGCTCAAAGGGCTATTGTCAAGTATCATGACCTTGCTCAGGTCTGGTTCCACTGAGCTAAGGTCCTTGATATATGCCCCATTCCTGAACGTACAATGCTGGCGGTAGTACCGCGCCGAAAAATATTTCCGCTCTTGCTCAAGCCAATCGATAACGGGATCTGCGTATTCTTGGACCGAAGCCGTAAAGACAACAAGATTATACCATTTACAAACGTGTCGGAGAAAATCGTCACAGTGTGGGCGCTTATGTACGTAATAGAGAATAGGATGTTGGGGTCCAAGAGTAGCTCCCCCATAGCCGACGGTCGTATTTAGCTTGACCTCTACCATGTGGCCGCTGCTCATTCTGCCCCCTTTTGCCAGGCTGTGGATCAGTGTCTCATCTAAGTCTATTACCAATGTCTTCTGCGTGAGTCTAGTGGAAGTTTGTGAGGATATTTGGTTTGAATAGGAAGGTTGCCGCCTAGGAATGAGAGGTCGCGGTGGAGCAGGAGCGCGAGGATACTTGGTAAGTTTCAGAGATGATGCAGGTGATGTTGGCGACTTTATGTTCGCTACTGTAAGCGTAGGTTGTTGACTGCGGCCAGTAACACCGGCCCCATGCCCAACATCCCCTCTCTCTTTTTTCTGCTTCCGCCGTCGAGTCGTGTCTTCATTGTACAGCTTTATGCGAATGGATCTCCTCGCCTGCGGTACATCATCCGATGAAGATGACGTGTTGAGCCTTGGTCTATTCTCCCGAGGCGTATCAAGAATGACGAGCTTTTCTCCGACCTCAGCTTCGGATTCTGAGGTTGCTGGAGAGATGCAGTCGGCCTCTTTGGGCTTGAGCCCGAGCTCTTTCACCGACGTTTTCCGGCGCAGATTCTTGTGATCTGAGCTTGAAGAGAATGCAGCAGCTGGAGCATCTGAAGATCCCGAGAGTCCAACAGCCTGTGCTGTAGATTTCCTTCCGTTACGCTTCGGCAGAGCGCGGCTTAACTTGCGTACCGGCAGTAACGGAGAGAACCTGCCCTTCTCGTCGTAAAAGCCTGTAACAATGTAGAGGCCGGGCGAGACTAATGTAGAAAGCACCCATTTCAAAGACTCGGTCAGAGCATGTACCAGTCTTTTTGCTGCCAAACGGAGTTGGCTGTATCTTGGACCAGGTTTCGAAGAACTTTCGGGTTCCATGGCCCCGGCGAGCAGCGGAGTATCCTCGCTCATCTCGTCTGGCGTCGTCTCAACGCCCGTGTCTTCTTCGGCATCTGCGCTGCTAGGGCCCGCCTCCTTCTCCTCGACCGTATCTGTGACGCCTCCTTTGACATGCTGACTGGCACTTCGCTTCGATTTGTTGTCCGTATTTCCTTCTCTCAAATTACTGTCACTGTAGGACCGGGGTCTGCGGGTCGTAGGCGTTTGAGGCGGGGTTGGACCGATGACGCGAGCGGACAAGATGTTCAAAGAGTTCATCGTCCGAGAGGAGCCATCGAACTGCTACAGGAAGGGCACTGGTGTTCTGAATGTAGCCAGTCAATTTTAATGCCCCAGAAAGGCAGTCTTTAAGTAGATGCGCAGCCCGAATGGAGCTGTTGTTTAGGCCCCCCAGCTTGCGGGCTCGAAGTTGGGGCTTTGTCACTCGCTGAGTGTCAGTGGCGACAGTTCCCAGATGGCGTGCGCAATCCAACGGTTGCGATATTTGTGATTTCCAGTCTGACAGAGTCAATGCCTTGCTAGAGACCCAGGGGCTTCTTTGGTGTGGGGCGGCGGGGGTAAACAATGTATTGGAGAGGATCGGAGGTTGGGAAAACAAATGATCCCGAACCGTTTGATAGCTTCATCTTACAGTAACTGTAGATGACTACTAAATACGACCATTGACCCTCAAATCTTTCACGCACTTTCAGAGTGTCCATTCAACGTAGTCTTGAGATGCAAAACCATCCGAAACAAGAACTGAAGTGCCTATCCCTCCACCGAACGTCCACCAGCTTACAACCGCCGTTCTGGCACCCAATCAACGCCCAACCACAGCCAATTAAGCCAATACATATGCAGCGGCTTCTTATCAACTGCTCTTTGTCTCTAGAATACTGACCCAAATTCTTTGCAAACTTGGCGACACCGCTATCATCATGCCTTCTTCAGCAGGCGTTCTGACCCCGGCTCTCACAACCTTCTCCAGATCCGTTAGGAACAGAGGTACTCCAATCGAGTCCTCTATAGAGAACCTGATCTCGTAAGAACTCGAAGTTGTGGCAATACCATAAATTGATGCTGACCAAAACAGCCTTCTAAAAAGACGTCAAATTCGCGATTCAAAACCCTGTGCAATGGCTACCGCTTACCTCTTGCGCCGGGTAGTGGAGACATTCAAGATCGCAGATGTCTCGGGACTCATTGAACGGGTGCACCAAGTCGGAGAACGATTATTAGCTGCGCAGCCGAGGGAGATGGCCATTGGGAACATAGTACGCCGTGTTCTGGGTGTCATCCGAGAAGAGGCAGAAGAGGATCGAGACGGGGAGACCAGTGGCTACAGCGATGCGGACACAGACAGTCGGCCTCATTCCGCGGGAGAGAATGGTTCAAGACTCCCTGAAGCACCTGGGGCCGTCTCGCGGGCTCTCTTGTCAAGTCCATTGCCGCGAGGTGCTAGTGACCAACCTTCGCTCGAACCTCATGAAGACGGAGCACTCCAACGCCTTCCAGTTCTAACAGCGCATGCTTCATATGCAAGTACGAATACTGGTCCCGTGGTGACGTCTATGTTCAGCTTGCTATCTCACCCTAGATCGAATGTAGCATTACCCACTGCTACTCCTGGCTCGCAGTCCCCTGGAAGCCATCCACCACTTTCGAACACGGCCCTTGCAAATCTTACTGCTGCCAAAGATCTCAGGGCAGAAATCGTTGAAGGAATACAGGAAATACTTGAGGAATTGAATCAAGCGGATGACCAGATAGCTGGCTACTGTCTAGAGCACATCCATTCTAACGAGGTCATTCTCACTCACACATCCTCAATCACCGTTCAAAAATTTCTCCTCAAGGCAGCCGCTAAACGAAAATTTACTGTGATCCACGCCGAAACCTTTCCCAACGACCACGAATCTACGCATGCCACAGTCATTGGCAAAGCTAAAGGGGAGTCGGATGACGAATTGAGACCAGAGTCATTCCAGAAATCGCTGACTGCAGCCGGCATCACAGTAATCCTAATTCCCGACTCAGCTGTGTTTGCCTTGATGTCGCGCGTCAACAAAGTGATCCTCGACACTCATATTGTACTCGCAAACGGGGGTTTGGTAGCAGCCGCAGGGGCAAAGGTCGTTGCCAAAGCTGCGAGTATGCATCGGACGCCTGTTATCGTGCTTAGTGGGGTTTACAAGCTTAGCCCAGTCTATCCTTTTGATATTGATTCGTTGATGGAAAACGGAGATCCAGCCGGAGTGATCGGATATGGAGATGGAGACATGGTGAACAAGGTCGAGTTTGAAAACCCCCTGTTCGATCATATCCCTCCGGAATTGGTAGATCTCTACATCACGAACCTGTGAGTACATCCGCATCGAACATCGGCAAGATTGAATCCACTGACACTATATCCTAGGGGTGGACATGCTCCTACTTATCTCTATCGCATAATTGCAGATCACTACAGAGCTGAGGATACAGAGCTTGATAAATTCAATGCATATCAATGAAACACTTTCCTGCAGTGAATTTTGACTTGCTACAAGGGCGTGGCGACTATAACCGAGTTTGATAGGTCTGACCTTCGCTCTTCTGACAGTCTACCTCTCTGCTCGAAATCTCAAAAACGCCTTGGCCTCGGATAGTCATCTTTTGGGTTTGCCTATTGTTGCATTAGCACAACAACCCTTAGGAAGACATATAACAGGCAGGATGCGATGACAATAGAAAGGGTATAGATTGGGTGTCTCAGGTCTTTTCAGTTCTTTTTTGGTCTTCAAGCTGCAGGCTCTTCAGGCTTTCAATCTTTCAGGAGACCACCAACAGAGCGAAATCCATAGCACGCCCAGACAGTCTTGTTTGCAATTGTCTCGCCTGCTCTATCTTACTGTACACCACTGCCATTGACGAAGATTCGGCAAGGAACAGTAGAATCAAAGTTCCATTGAGTGGTCCATTTTGAATGTACACAAAGGATACAGAGTATTCTGCTCATTGACTTTGAACAGTCCCCCTTGCTGATGTGCCAACCAACAAGACTGCCAGAGGCTTGCCAGAATTTGCATACCCAATTTGGTGTTAGGTCTGCCCGCTAGACGGAAAACTATAAAGAGCTCTTGTGCGGTCAGACCTTTTACCATTGTTGCATCATTGACACCGTGTACAGCATTTCAATAATTTGGAAAAGATTGTAAATTACAGCCATGAATGAAAGCACTTACCATTCAGATTGTCACTTCGCAACCCTGATAACCTGAACACGGCCAATTCAGCTGCTTCGTGTTACTGATGTTTCTTTGCAGAGCAATCGGATCTCAAAGGTGGATGAAAGAGTGATTGGCATCCGAATTGAATTAAGGTCGGGTTTAGAATATGTTACCCGCTTCCCGTATTTTATTCACGGGGCTAGCAGGCTAGCAATACCAGTGTAGTAATCGCTGTAATTATTTGGTACCTCCTTCCAATGCTCTGATTCACTCCTTTGAGGTCTGATATTATTTCAGGCTTCACGCAGGTAGCATCTGTTCAAGTGAATCCTGCAAGTTGTTCTGGGCTATGGATTTCCTCAAATCAGCCGTAGCCTCTGCCATCTCCAAGGACCCTCCTTTTCCTTACAAGTTTGGTGACAGGTTGACTGTAGATCAGTCAATCTGGGCTCTACATAACGGCACGAAGCGAGTGTGTGTACTCCAGAAACTATGTATCAAATATCTCTGACTCGTGTGCGCCTTTCAAGGAAAATGGGTCGGATTGCAGCATCTTCGCATTCGATGTTACCGCAGATAGATCCCGCTTACCACTCGCTCGGAATGCAGTACGAAAGATGCGAACATTGAGGCATCCGGGAGTGATAAAAGTCTACGATACAGTCGAGGTACAGCCATCATACCGCGGAGAAGGGACATTGGGGCAAAGTCTGATACATATGATAGACAGAGACATACATCTACGTTGCTACCGAGAGAGTCACTCCTTTAGAATGGTCAGCAAGACGTAAAAGCCTGAGTGTAGAAACTTCGAAATGGGGCCTCTTCAGTATTGCAGTATGGTATTCGAGGGTTCTGGAAAATGGGAAGCATATTAAACGTTTTCCCAGAATACGTTATCATTCATCAACGACGAGGCTTCTTCTATACATGGAAATGTTCGCCTCTCCTCGATCTTCACCAGCCAAAGTGGAGAATGGAGACTGGGCGGGCTAGAGGTGCTGAGCTCCCCAGAGGACGACGATGCTCTCATCTATGTCAGTCCTAAGGCAATACCCTCTCGAATAACTTCGCTGACTTTCGAAGAGGTATGGAAGCTTTACCCCCAACTCTGGACGGTACGCTCCTCCTGAAATTGCCAAAGCAAGTTGGGACGCGATTAAACGGCATCCGCTTCCCGCAATCGATTCATATAATTTCGGAATACTGGTGTTTGAGGTTTTCAATGGCAGTTTTATCACTGCTGATCAAGTCGGCCAAACAAAAAATGTGCCGCCAAGTATGCATCAAAGTTACAAGAGGCTGCTGAATGCCAACCCTAAGGCAAGATTAAGCGTTTCTCACTTTCGGGATCAAGGGAGGCGTAGTGGTGGGTTCTTCGAGACCCCACTGATCAAGCTGTCGGAAGGCATCGATAGTCTTGGCTTGAAGAGTGAGGGCGAAAGAGAAGAATTCCTGAGGTTCGCATATGAAGAGACCAATAACTATGCTGTGCGCTGACTATCCTCCAGCGAGCTAGACGAAGTCGCGGAAGATTTTCCCGAGGAATTTTTCAGCGTGAAAGTACTTCCTGAGCTTCTGAAATCCGTAGAATTTGGAGGCGGAGGACCTAAAGTCTTCGCATCTGTGATGAAAATAGGAAAAAAGCTCTCTGACGAAGAGTGGGAGTCAAAGATTACTCCCGTTATTGTCAGACTGTTTTCAAATCCGGACCGAGCAATACGGGTTTGCTTGCTTGATTGTCTTCCCGGTATGATTGATCACCTATCTCAGAAGGTTGTCAACGACAGGATCTTCCCACAGATGGTAACGTTCCCGTGCGCCAGCATATTATGATTCACACTAAATCGAACAGGTCACGGGTTTCACAGACGTAGCACCACTGGTTCGTGAACAGACAGTCAAGGCCGTTCTGACGATTATCACCAAGCTCTCGGATCGAACTATCAACGGAGATTTACTAAAGCAGCTTGCAAAAACCTCGAATGACGAGCAGCCTGGAATCCGTACTAATACTACCATATGTCTTGGGAAAATAGCGCGTCATCTGGGTACAAGTGTACGCACATTAGAGTTCCTTACGGGCTCCCAAATCACTGACTCGGCTTCAGACGAGACAAAAGGTTCTTGTCGCAGCTTTTGCACGCTCACTGCGAGACCCTTTCGTACACGCACGCAATGCAGCCCTGCTTGCACTCGCCGCAACCTTAGACCTGTTCACTGATGATGATTGTGCTACTAAGATCCTGCCTGCTCTGTGCCCGTCGTTGGTGGACAAAGAGAAGTAGAATATCTCGAGTGCAGCAAGAATCTTCTAGTCACTGACACTTACCAGGCTTGTTCGTGATCAAGCAAACAAATGCTTTGATGTCTACCTTCAGCGTATACGCAAGTATGGATACTCACTTCCGGACACAGTCTTGCCAACACCTGCCATTGTGGTAGCTAATGGTGCTGTCCCACGTATGGGCACGCCTCAAAATGACACGCCAGGATGGGCTGGTTGGGCAATTTCGTCCTTTACGAACAAATTGGCCACCGCTAGCGGTGACATGCAATCGAAAGCTGTGAAACCTCAGCAGGCAAAGAGTGACAGATCATCATCTGTTCCCCCAGCGGCAGATTCTTCTCATCCTCCACTTTCAGCATCAGCATCCATCCTCCATCGCCAGGCTGTTACTGGCACATCCACCCCTGCTCGAGTGCCAACGCCAACTGAGCAGTGTTTCAAGAATCCCATCGAGGATGACGAGGACGTTGACGAGGCTTGGGGTGAAATGGCTGAAAATTCCTTCTTCGACGCTCCAACGGAAATTCAGCCAAATCCAGCTCCCCCAATCAGCTTTGACGATGGTGGCGAGCCGGATTTTGAGGGATGGTTGAAAGCGCAGGCTCAGGCTCAGGCTAAGTCTAAAGCACCATTCCCTAAGGGATTGACCAAGCCTTCCGCCAATGTCAGCAATGTTAGCAATGGCAGGCAAGCTGTCACAAGAACTACTACTACTGGAAGCGTGGGCGCGGGAGTCGGCGCAAAGAAACTGGCGAGTACCATTGCTAAGCCCAAACCTGCGACAACCAAAGCCATCAGCACGAAGCCGAAAGAAGTGGATGATGATTGGGGCGACGCATGGGACTAGTCGTTGTAGTCTGGGATACCTTGTGGACACTTCGCGCGCATAAGCACGGCCTTGGGATAAAGGTGTTGGCGGAACTGTCCTTCTTTTGGAGGACGAACGCATTCATGAGATACCCGAAGTGTGGATGACCAAGTGTATCTAGAAGAGTGCGACGATGGTCGCGGGCCTGCAAAAATGCGCTGTGCACCCAATTGTGACGGTTGTAATCGACTTAGACCCCCCTATTGTAGCTCATGAAAAGAACCTTGTATACGTTCCATCACTGATGCGTATCCTTCTGAACCCCAGCGCCATCGCTGAAATCGAGGTTTCGCACATGATGCTCGTCGTTAATGATTACTTCTTGCTCATCTCTCCGAGTAATCGTTCAGTGCCACACAAACAGCGCCTCTATGATGTCCATTGTACTGCCTAATGACTGCCTGCGTTCCCAACTCCCACAATCTGGCGTAATGATCGCTGCTCGCCGTCACAAGATATGCACTATCGGCACTGAATGCGCAATCCCACACCCATCTCTGGTGACTCTCGAGACTCGATTCTAATGGGAAAGCGCCTGGTTTACGCTCGGTAGGGAGATTCTCGTTGCCCTTGACAATATGTGGAGCTGCTGGGTCAACGGACCAGATGCGCGCATTGTGATCGGCGCTACATGTTGCCAGATGACGGACGTCCGGAGAGAGGAGGACTCGAGTTACGTAAGCGTTATGAGCCTGAAAAGACGTCACCGGTATCAAAGAGGTGATGTCACGGTTCTGGAGCATGCGCCAGACGTAAATGTTGCCCTTGGGGGAAGAATGTAAGTTAGCTAGGATTAGTATAGCAGCAGACGGAGCACGCACCGAATTGTTGCCTGCGCATAGCAACGTTCCATCACTAGCTACCGTAACACTCGACACAGAGACATCTTCCTCCGGAACCAGCTGGTGGGTGCATTTGTTTTCTCCCAGATCCCAAATCCTGACATTGCCCCCTCGATCACAAGCTATCACCTCCCCTTGATTTGGGTGGATCACCACATCATTAACAGGGATTCCGTGATCATAGCTTCGCTGAATACTCCCATCTTTTGTTTGCCACACCTTTACCCAACCATCTTCAGAACAAGTCACCATCCATTTGCCCTCACAATGAAAAGTGACTCCGGTAACGTTCCCTGTGTGCCCGGCGAAGGTCATGACAGGACTCGGATTTGAGGAGCGGATATCGAATAGCTTGACTTTTTGATGGCCTGCAGCAGCAAGGTACCGTTTATCGGGAGATATACAAAGGCGGTTGACTTGCGATTCGGGATGCTGGATTGTGCGATGGCAGATGCCAGAAAGGGCTTCCCAAAAACGTATCGTGTGGTCGTAACCAGCTGGAAGAATTGTTAATGCATAGAGTTTGCGGTATGAAATTTGTAGAACTCTTGTGCAACCTACCTGTGCAAAGGATTACACTCATGGTCCAAGTTTACTGGGTGAAGCTGAGATGCGCAATTGTGTTCTCTTTAGTCGAATCGACACACGCAGCCTCGAAGCCTTGGGATCAACGATACAGTAAAGCTTTGATGTCACAGACCAAGCGCTTATTGAATTATTTGAAAGCCTGCATCAAAAGGCCATTCCAAGGATTTTGTGCGCAAGCTATCTCACACTCAAGCCGCCTTCTAAATGTTTGGTTACCACCCTTTAACTTTAGTCACTTAGGGCATAAGATTGACAGTACCTTGGATTGTAGCGCTAGGGAGCTGTTGAGAAACGAGTTCTAAATTGGTGTCACTAATCGCGCTTATCGCGCAGTCGCGGTAGTCCCGAAGCGAGGCACGACTTCGGACTTGCTTTGCTCTGCATCTTCCACACCGTCGGACATTCTTCCAAAACATCTGTCGCTTTTGGTATAATCATCTAGAATCACAGGTTCTGAGTCAAGCATGGGTTCGAAGGTCAAAATGCTACAGCTGGAGCAGCTTGATTGAGGCACTCGCAAGCCTGCTGCTCCCTGACAAGAGCGAGGTGAAGAGATGACTCCCTCATCGCTCAAGAAGATGAGTGGGGCTCAAGAGAGTAAAGAAGGTAATTATGCTTCGTTGGAGAAAACACCATCGGGTAGGTTCACTATTTGCGATCTGGGGCTTACACTTCTCCCCGGATCACAGATTCAGAGAAAGGACGAGAAGGGATCAGGGACTGCTGCTGAGAGCGGTCCAAAAAACCCAGCCAAAAAATGTATTGGAAGATCGGAACAATGGAAGTCTTTTGAGACTGGGATCCAACTAAAGCATCCAGCCCGGGAAACAGATATTCCCAACGAGGCCAAGAGCCCAAGCAGCTCTCAATATCCTGGTCTAGAATCAGCAAAACCCTCAAATGCGACGGCTCAAATCAACCGAGAACGGCCCTTCTCTCAGGACTTTTCTGCAAAGGATGGCAGTGGCGTGGTGCAGCACAATGGTAACTCCATCGCCGCAGCTCCATACGATGAGCAGATAATGGGTACCGGTGAGGTTAGGAATGCGAACAGCTGTCAAAATGATGACTCTTTTCCTCGTACCGCGAAACGGAGGAAGCTTGGAAGCCGTGCATGTAACCAAATGCGAGATTCAAAAGTAAACAAAGGAAAAGAAGCGGCATTTGAAACCAACTATAACCGATTTTACGTGCATCAACATCAAGATCTGTCCGAAATCAATGCTGTTCACTCAGGAAAGGAAAAATCATCAGTTGCAACAATCGGTGTTCCCTTCGGCGGACCCGGAGGAGGCTTAGGATCTAGCAAGCCAGAATCACGGCCCCAAATCAAACATAGCCCAGACAGTGCTCGTGCTCGTTCTCATCAAAGCACGATTTTAGTATCGGAAGGTATAGCTCTGCATGGCAATTCTGCCTCAAGATCTCCAGCGAAGCACCAATACTCTGAACCAGGAGAGCTGGCATTGCACCATCATCCTACCAACTCTTCGAAATCTATCTCCACGCAACATTGGAAGCATTCGAGCCTGTTCTCTGACACCCCCGCAGACACTCGAACACAAGTGTTGAAGCCCAGGAAGGAAGTGAATAGGTCTTGGACCAATCATTTTCCGGCCAAGGCGAAAATTCCTCGCCGCGCTAACCTACCCGCCTCTTCTTTACTATCAGCTCCATCCACACCTAGCGAAGATCATCAACATCCACACCCGATTAATGCTCTACCAACATCTACGAATCTTCATGCGAATACACCCTCCTCGAGCACACATTATTCACCTTCACTGCTCAAATATCTTAGCCTGTCAATAGCTTCCAATCATCCGTTAGACCTTTGTGCTCAAGAGAATACCTTTGACACTGCACTTGGTCATAAGAGCCACTTATCTCGAAGACGTTCTGCTTCAATGCCAAACCTCTCGTCAACGTGGGCACCAATGAATATGAATTCCTCCGACCGTTTCGGGCCAACCTCATTGCCCACTCCACCCCGTGAACGACCAAGCTCGCTCCCGCCTTATGGGAATGGACCGTTCCTCCAAAACCTTGTCGGCCCTCCTCATGGTCAAGTCGACGCGTCTTTCAAAGCAGACGACTCTTCCGCCCGCAATTGGCAACTCAATTCGAACTTCCAGGGTCAACACGGCATCAGCCTCTCGGATAGGCAGAGTGTAGCCTTCACACCTAGCCTTCATCCTCGCCAAGCCTTGACACAGCCGTCGAACCACCAAGACATGACCGGCCCATCCGTAACCGCAATGGCTGCCGTTGGACCACAGGATAGTCGCCGACGGTTGGAAATAAAACCCAACTACAGCCATGAGGAGGTTAAGTCGCTCATGTTCAATTTCGTCCGACAAGCGCAAACGCTAAAAGTAGAAAGCGCAAATTTGCAGTCCTTAAATACTGCCATGAAGAAAGGCTTTGAGAGCCTCCAACAAGGAAAAGCTGATCTGATGCAACAGATCCAGCGCTACGAGCGCACTGTTGCACAAAAGGACCAGCAGATTGAGGCCATGCGAAGACAAGGCTCTTCGCTACAGCACCAGTACAAGCGAATCTGGGACGAACATCACCAACTCCTTGCAACTATACGGAAGGAGAATGGCACTGGTAACCCTAGCGCAATAGCTAAGAAAATTCGGTGGAATCATTCGCCCAATGCTGTTGGCGCAGCTAGCCAAGGCGATCAATCTAGCGAAAAGGCGTCCCCAGTGTATTCTGCCAATGGAGCACAGCTACCCATCTCGAGACACGCTTTCGAACAGGCACATACGGGACCCCACCGACATTTTCAGCCAGTATCTGTTCCTTGCTCATCAGAGGCAAATGTAATCAATGCCTTGAACCGGTCCTTGTGCCAGCAAGGGAACGCTGCCGCATACCACAATGGCGCAAGTCCATCGCAGACAGCGTCATTTCCTGCTTACCCAAAGGCAAGTGTAGCGAACGCTTCGAGCCGGGCTTTGGTGCAACCACGGTTCGCTGCCGCGAACCCCGACAGCGAAAACTCACCGCACGATGGATCCACTAGATGGGTACCTTCAGATCAACCACTCGGTGCCACTGTCCAAACAGTGACGACCAATGGTCAGAACGATCAGCGCCCCACAGAACATGTACCCACTGAGTGCGTGACCATCGACCTCACGGACGATTCTCAGTCACCCTCGTCTTCGGTACTCCAGACACGTCAATCATCTGTTCAGGGTGGAAATCCACCCTGCGACCTTCCATCGGGCCAATACCCACCAGATCAATACCCAATAGGGCACGTTGTATCAAGTCAATATCCGTCAGATCCGACCGCACAGAACCAAATGTCCCAGAGCCAACTACCACCGAACCGAAACTCACAAGACGAGAGCCTGGAAGCCAGGCAAAGTCAAAAGGAAGCATTTGCTCGCATGACCCAGAAATCTTGTCCCTGGGTCCAAGGAGAAAATCCCTTTAGAAAGGGAACAAAGACTGAACAGCAAGTTGGGCTGCCAAATTCCAGACGACCCTCACAAAGCAGCGCGGAGGAACCCGTTTCTTTTGCCCAATCTCCGCAAGCGGGTCGTGTGGCGCCCTTGCCGGAGACCGCGACTGGCCGAAAGACCAAAAAGAAAGCCCCAGAGAAGACAAAGGTTGCCCTGGACGCTGAAGCTAAAAAGGAGAGGGCGAAAGCTTACAGGAAGACCGCTGCGGAGAAGAAGAAGCGAGAGAAGGAAGCTGCAAAGCAATCGCTTCCGGACGAGAATATGCCGAACAATGCCATGCGCGCTCAAAAGCAAGGCAGAAGAACAGCCAAAGGAGAAAAACGCCTGGAGCAAGCTCGAAACCCGTCGGAAGAACCCGGTTCACGGGAGCCTCAAAAGACGCTAGATGGTCGATTGTATCAAGACGACGCTGGCGTCCAGCAAGTCTTACACGAAGAAAGCGTGAGGCAAGAGGCGTCGGATGACCACGATTCGCTTTTCGGAGAGAGTGAAGCGGAGGGCCGGGAAGATGCAATTTCACCAGATGCTGACATTTTCATGCACGACGACGCTGCTGCCACGGAGCAAGATAGGGAGGCTGCATTTGCGGCAGAAATCGAGGCAGAATTCGAAGCAGATGTAGATGCTGGAAGAATGGTAGGTTTCGAGCAGGGTGATGCGTCCAGTGGCCAGACCTCTGACCCAATCGCCCCACCCAACAGCGATGATGGATTTCATGATTTCTCTGAGGAGAGCGAGGAGGAATAGATGACAGAAGATGGAACGACCCGGTTGAGCTGAGCATCATGAAAGTGGTGACTTACACATGTGTTGAACACCGTTGTGTTGAAAACCGCATTTGTTTACAGTGCTGGTGGCCCTTTTCCTCAGGTGCTGAAAGCGAGGACACCATTTCGAGACCTGTTCGAGGAGTGGCCAAGCACCGTGAAGAAGGTCCTGTGTCATATCATGGAAGCGTTGTACATACTGAGAAGCATTAGCAGATACCCAACCTAGCTACTAGCTACCGCAATACATATGATGATCTAACAAATCTCTACAAGCGGCCGCTGAGTATCTTTAGTGTGGTCTACATCGAAGACGAGATCCTCTCTTGGTCCATAAAAGACCTGGACACATCCGTTCAAGCGTTTCGTCGTCCCTTTTATTCATACATTTTAGAGCTGTATTGGCGCAACGTCGCAGACGAACACCTTCTACCCTGTTCGTCAACGCAAGTCTGCCTCGGCCCCTGAACCCCTTCCAATGCAACCGTATTGCTACTAGCTTCTTCAAAGGCTCGTGCAGATCAAAGCATGCTCTACCGGTTATCTAATGGTTAGATAACGGTTACAAGAACTCGGATTTCCCAATTCGATGGACATGATACGTGCTGAGCAGTCACTTGTTCATTCTGCCTGCAAATCTAAGTCTATATGAATTGAGCTAGGCAGAATGGTCCAATCGATGCCCCATTATTGCCTCGTGCAAATTCGAGTAGAACGCCTTTCGCAATGCAAGCCAAACTGTTCGAATGAGTATCCGTCATGACGTTAGCAATGCAAGAGCTCCCAAAACACCCATCGTCATCAGCAACAAGCTGCTAGGTCGCAAAGGGTACGCCGCGGACTGTACAAGCCCACAGCAAGCGCGACTGTAGGTGACATTGTTGTGCTGAGCAGCGACTTCGAAGACTGACCCGGGCGAAGAGCCTTGGTTGTAGTAATCCACCTGACGCAGATTTCGTAGTCAGCATGGCTTTCTCAGGGCAAGAAGCCTAGTCGTGACCCAGGTTCGGGGAATAAAAGAGTGCTCTGCTCTCTGAAGATAATCTTTCAAACCCGGAATTCGTAAAATATAGGGGGGATGAGTTGCTCCGAAATATACATACCAGGAGAAAGTTGGGGGAATTGGGCCAGGCCGCTACGACAAGCGTTAGCAACGCGGCTTCACGACTGCAAAGTCTTCATTCTAGCTTACCAGCGCAGTTGTTGGCCATGAGACCGAGGCTTCCAGTCCCGTTAAGTGCATTTGTTTGATTGATCAGAGCCGTAGTTGGTACCAAAAGGCTCGTCCCCGCGAGAGAAATCTCGGTATTGAGGTTGTGGTTCGCCATATACATCCGGTTTTCCGCCTCTTGACGACTCAAATTGGGCGGCCTTTGCTGGGTGCAAGGGAAGCTCTGGTTGGTGGGACTGAAAGGTGTCTCCCACATCTGGCTGAATTCGTCCAAAATGTATGGGACTTCAGTCTGGTTGGCGTTGTAATCCATAAAGATGACGGCTCGTTTCCCCATGAGAATCATGTCTGACAGGGTAGGCCAGGATGATATGTTCATTGGAATTTGAGGCGGCACATACGCGTAGTTGGAAAGTCCGGAGTTTACAATTGGAGCACTATAATTGCCGACGCCGATGAGGTCGGAATTGCTCAGAAGTATTGTGACCACATCGTAGGGGTGAGTCTTAATCCAGCCGGTTATGTTTGTGAGATAGGATTGGACCGTACCAACGTCGAGAAGATTGCAAGAAGTATGGCAGCAAGAGACGGTGCTGGTGGTAGCATTGTAATGTGTCTCGGTTTCGAACATTCTGATGCCGTCATCTAGCTGATCGATGACTCCAAGCTGTTGATTAGAGGCTGCATTGTTAGGCAGGACGAAGGGGCTGTTGTGTGCCCCAACATAGGTGATATTGCTGTACTTTCGACTGCAGAATTCGGGATAATTGTTGCATGCTTGCGTATTCGTTGGGATAGCCGAGGCTGACGTTCTGCTGGCCGTCGAGTTTCCCATCATTGTGCCATTCGAGGATGTTGAAGATGACCGCATGGAGCCTTGTAAGAGAGTCAGGCTTGTTGAGGTTGATTGCTTAGAGGTTGACGAAGATGAGGCATTGGCGACGGCCATGGTAGTTTGGAATATGGCAGTGGTGCCATTGAGGGTGGAGGTGGTAGTGTATGAAATGTAAGAAACGTCGGAGCCCGTAGGAAGGAGATCTCCTCCCAAGTTGGATATGCTGGTGCCTGTTGTAATGGAGCCTGAGAGTTGGATATCCGATGCCACTTGGGCGCTGACCTCAATGGCAAGAAGTAGGGTGGAGGGGAGAAGCAATAACATTATCAATTTCGAGGGACGGGGTACAGGTGATAAAGGATAGAGAAGAGAAGAGAAGGGAAGAGAAGAGAAGGAGTAGAGGTGAAGCACTAGCAGGGAGGCAGGCTGCTTGACAAGCTCTTAATGAATGAAGGCGAGGTTGAGATGACTTTGAATAGGACTATATTGGACTAGAAATGGAGGGTAGAAGAGGAGCAAGACGCGGTGAGACAAATGTCATAAAGTATTCGCCTTAGATATTAAATAGAGAGACAAGACACTCGTGCCTCTGATGCAAATCCGCCGAAGCGCCGAAAAGATGAAGAAGAAGAGTAATGATAATGATAATGATAATAATAATGATAATAATAATGATAATAATGATTATGAGAAAGTATGTTATTATTATTAAGCACTGAGCACTTTTCTCCATACGTCAATCCCTTTTCTCTTCTCTCTCTTTCTTTTTATTTTTCGTTTCCTTTTCTCCCTTTTTATTTTTCTCCAAATTTTTAGAGATGACAGCATGTAAGCCAGGATGAGATGCCAGTAATGTAATAGGGAGACGCGTCTTCAGTGGCGTTAAGAAGCTTCGTCACTCGGTGTTTCCTTGCATGTTTGATTGATTGATTGATTGATTACATTATACTACCCTGAAGTCTTGCCCTAGTAGCCGACTATGCGAGTTACATAATCTATCTAATCCTTTCGGCCAATCATATGGTCTCAAATAAATAAGGCTATATAAGTCACCGTCATGGTTCTACGTTTTGTTGTATTTGATTCTTGAAAAGAAGTATACTCTATATCGCTGAGGCCCTTTCGTCTTAATCGTGTTCTTCTTTTTAACCGCCTACTTTAGTGAATTCTTATTATTAATCTTTATTAAGAGCTTAATATTACTTAATAAGCTTAATACTCCTTATAAAGTCCGCCGCTATAGAGGCGTAGCGTGGTTTTATTAATATATCTTTATAAGTAATAACCCCTCTTTTACCTTCCTTTCTCTTCGGCCTATTATATTCCTCGCTTTTTACTAAATAGCCTATATTCATAAAGAATATATCGAGTTATCTATTTCGCTCTATACTTATATTCTTTATTCTCTATATCCGATATTTATCGATTATAAAGAAAGATCTTAAGATTTATTTTCTCGATCTTTATTTACGTTATTAGCGACGTTTTAGCGCGCTTAACTCTCGAATATAGAAGTTATATTTATTTCGATAGTATTAATTAAATTCTTCTAAGAATATCGCTTTACTTCTTATTAGTCTATTTAATAGTTTATTATTTCATCGCGTAGTCTTTAATAGCTATTTTAATCGTTAATATTATTCTTATCTATATAATTAATAATTAGACTATTTCGTTAGTATTTATCTTTACTCTTTTATTATAAATTACTCGCTCTCGCTAATTAATAGTCTTCTTCGCCTCTCTATCCGCCTATTTATTATTGTTAATATTAATATATATCGAGATCTAGTATAATTCTATTACTATTCTAAGATATCTTAGCGAATTAATAATCTATATTATCTATATTATATAAATCTATTTTAAGTACTTATCTAAGTCTTTAATAGTTTAAATCGATATTTAATTATTCGTATTTACTATAACTCTATTAAATTATAATCTTATTTAATATATAATTACTATAATTAGAGCTTAAAGAATATTATATAACTTCGCTAAGTATATTATATATTAGTCGCTTAAGTTTAAATAGATATTAAAAGTAGAATTAATATCTAACGATATAGTTAAAGCTTTTACTTTTTTATTAATTTCGCTATCGTCTATATATATTATTATATAATCTTTATTAATCGATCTTTTAATTAGTTCTTTAGCGGCTTTCTTAATCTTATAAATTATTATTTTAAAAGGCTTTTTAGTTAAGAGCGACGCTGAAAGAGCGTAATTTCTTAATCTTATTAATATCGTCGTATTATTCTTTGAATTTATTAATATATCGCTTTAGTAAACTTAGTTTTCTATTCTTCTTAGATTTTCTTTTAGACTTTTATCGCTTAAATTATAGCTTAATAATCTTATTATATACTAAACTAGTAATAATTTGTAAGATAGCTTTTAAGGTAATCTTATTTAGCTATTATTTAACTAATAGAAGATACGCTTCTATATCGAGTGCTAAAATAAATATAACCTTAAATACTTTAGTTATCTTTTCTCTATCTAAGATTAAATTCTTTATAGCGATAAGAGATAAGTTTTATTATAATTGATAGTATTTTTTAGGCTAGTATTATACTAAGTAGTAGTATATTATTTATAGAATAATTATCGCCTAATAGAGCTGTCTTATACTCTTATAATTATTATCTTATATTAATCTAATAATTCTCGCTAGTATATCGATATTTTTAGTAGTTTTAGACTAAATCTTCTTATTATAATAGCTCTATAGAAGTTTAAAGTTAATTTTAACTCCTAGATAGCGAATAAAGTATCTTATTTTAATATATTATCTCTTATTAAGTTATAGAAAATAGTCTAAGTTAAATCTCTATTTTCTATTAAGATATAGTAGTTAATATTTATTAAAATTAAACTTCGATTCATATTATAACATCTACTTTATATAAACTTCGTTATAAATTTTACGAAGAGCGTTATAGTTTTCCTCGATAGAGTTTTCTAC